TACTTTATCAACATTATTTTGCACTGGTGAAGAGAAAAGTTATTACAGATTTGTGAAAATACGAAAAATACGAATAACTATGGAATGGGTTAGTTAGATGTAATATGCCAACTTCCGGTTTAGATAATCAGAAAGCGGTGCTAGGACTTTCAGGAATCCCGGGATTTCAGGAGAATCCCGCTACAGGAAGAAGAATCCCCGACAAAAAGGTAGAATCCCCCTAAAAATGAATTAGTTGGGATACATAAAGGGTTTAGGTGGTGATTACCTGAATGATATTGCTATCCGTACATTTTTATAGCCAATTTTACCTGAGAATCGACAAAAATCGGACGCCATTACTAGTTGTCGTGGTATACCGTATACCACGCCCGATCTAAAATCGCGATCGAGTTCTGTCGGTTCGTCATTATATAGATCAAAACAAAACGGTATACTTAAATTTTCGGAATATTATCAATATTTCTACAATGATATGTGTCAATTATTTATGTGATAAGTATTTAACCAAAAAAATTTGTAAAGACGTTAGCCATTAAAAAAATATGAATATGTGTATTAATTATTCATATTATCCCAATGTTACCAGCTCTAGCCATGTGGAGGCCTCCTTTTTTGTAGAGCCATAATTTAAGAAATTTAGAATTCAGAGATATAAAAATATGAAAGCCAAAAGGTTCAAAACATATGAATAAAATTTAAAAATAAATAAAAACTAAATAAATTAACAATAATTGTACATATATTACAAAGAGAACAAAACACAAGAGAAATTAAAATAATTTTAGAATTTGAAAATACTGAAACCAGAGGAAGAAATAGTTAAATAAAAATTTATCAAGAATTTCAGATATTGAGAAATTTTAACTCAGATTTTGAAACATTCTATATAATTTTTTTTTTTTAATTTAGAACACACACACACAAAAATAATAAGAAAAAAAATTAAATTGATTGAATTTTAACTGAAACCAGAGGAATGATTTGAAAGAAATAATAATTAAAAATGTTCAAGTTTTTCAAATATTTAGCAATTTTAAATCAGACTTTATATTTTTTAATTTAAAAACACACACACACACAAAAATAATAATAAAAAAATTTAATTTATTGAATTTTAAATGAAACCAGAAGAATGTTTTTAAGAAATAGTAAATTAAAAATTTATCAAGTTTTTCAAATATTTAGCAATTTTAAATCAGACTGTAAACCATTCTATATTTTCTTTTAATTCAAAAAAGGAAAAACAACACACACACACAAAATTAACACAAGATTTTATTGAATTTAACTGGGGAGAAAAGTCTCATTCTAGACTGGATGAAAGTGAAATGAAAAACTTTCTGTCGCCAAACATAAGTATTATATGTTCTTCCATGTAACCTATTTTTATGTAAATAAAAAAAATTATATTTTTTTACATTTCAATGCCAACTGAATTTGTCGAGTAAAAATTTCCATTGCCTCTCTGTTCAAAGTAATCCCATCATCAAACCAAATGTTTTTTTTTCGAATTTATTAAGCCCCTACATCTCCAAAATATCACAGTTTGAGAATTAGCATATGTTCTCCGAAGGGCATTATTTATGTAAAAAACTATCGAATTGTACTTTCCTGGATCCATGGTGCCACAAATCATTTGCCTAAATAGACTCCCAATATATATTTTTTGAACTGACTCATTTCTTAACAATTTTTCGATAATTTTTTGTATTCCTAACACTATTTCTGATACAGAAAATTTTTTTATGTCATTCTCTCCTACTTGTAAAAACACTTTTGTTGGACAAAATTCAACTGCGCTTCCAAAGGATTGACTAAAAATAATTGATTCTGTTGTTGTATCTTTCTCACTAAAAATCTGGACTGAATAATTACTGGGCAACGTGAAATTCACACAACCGTTTGTTACACTATTCCCTAATTCTGACACATGATTTTGACCAATGATTGCAATTCGTTCTGGAGAAGTGACTGCGGGAGTTGCTGAAGGAGATATTGTCGGGCCGGGTATGGGTGCAGGTAGAGTTGTAGGGGAAGTAAGTGAGGGAGTTGCTGAAGGAGATTGTGCTTGGACCTTTATTCATTCACGACAATAGCAACTTTGAGTCATACAGTAATTTCTTTAATCATTTGAGAACTAAACTTTCAGATACAGATAAGTCTAAATTAATCTTTGGGTCGGATGAAGAAAAGGCTTTAGTAAAAGCAATTACTGAATGCTTTCCCGAATCAAACCATATATTGTGTAAGAGACATCTTTATCAAAATACAAAACAAAAACTTGTTGATGATAGTGTAGACAAGGTAGACAGACAAAAAATATTAGACCTACCCGGTAATTTTCAGTGATGAGGGATTGATAAATTCTGACGACAGTATTTGCTTCGAACACATTTCAGAGCAAAAAGAAGACATATCAAAGGAGCTTTCAGGCAAATTTCTAAAATATTTCAAAAAACTACAGCCAAATCTCAAAGAAAAAGTCAACAATCCCATCAGGCAAGATGTTGTTGATAAACCATGGACAAATAATAATTCTGAGTCATTAAATCATGTCTTAAAACAAGCAATTGATTGGAAATAAAAACCACTCCTTGATTTGGTAAATATACTTACAACACTTATAGAGTCACAGTTTAAAGACCTTAGAAAATCACTTCTGGGGGTAGGACAATTGAAACTAGTAGAAACACATGATCATTTCGGTGTTTCAAAATCAGTATGGGTGACTAAAACGACTGACGAAAGAGATAGGCTGTACAATAGATTCTGACTTTACATTCCACCAGACAAAATGACACTCACATCAACAGACGGTACTACAACTATAGTCAGACCACGCACCTTAGGTAAAAAAATTGGTCAACAAAAACTTAAAAAGGTGGACAGGACTACAACTATCAAAAAATCTAAAATACAGTAGATCTTCAACTCCCCATACTCAGTCAGTCTTACAGAACAACCAAATCTATGTTTTGTTTTTACAATGTTTATTTATGATTTTTGTTAGGGTTAGTATCAGGAAGTATTCTTCCCCCGCCAGACGGGTGCAGACCAGTGAATACTGTTTGGTGTTGTGTTAGGTTAGGTTAGGTTAGGAATATAATTTTATCTAATGATATTAATAAAATTATAAATTATTTTTTCTGTCATTTTCCATAAAGTTATTTAATAATTTACTTTTATGTTTATTGCTCTCTTTGGCTGTAATATTTTTAATTTTGACAGAAATATTTTGACTATGAATAATGATAAAGTATTTTTTAAGTACCTTTTTCTTTTCTTTTTTTTTTATTTATCTTTCGGTCCTTTGGCTTTAATATTTTTTATGTTTCAAAAATGTCTAAAATCAAGGCTCTACACTAAGGAGGCCTCCACGTGGCTAGAGCTGGAAACATAAGGAACCAACTATGGATATTTGTCAGATATTAATATTTTTATTTTCATAAATTCATATTTTCCTTATGGCTAACGTCCTTATATGAAAATCTGTAAAGCATCATTTAATTTCAATTTTGTTCAATTATATTAATAAAAAAATAAAATGTCTGACAGTAAGGGTATAATTATATGTTGAATGAATTAAAAGACAGTACAATTACAATACAAAATCATTTTAAAATACAAAATTGAATTGAAAATAAAGAACTAATTGAGCATAGTGAAGGTCAATGTATACACATGCAGTGCCCGAGGGGGTTGGTTGGACAGAGAACAGGTGTTTAAACAAAAGGTGTTTATTACCAACTAGACCAGGTGTCAACAGCTGTGTATATATATTGCATGTATACATACAGGGGGGTGGCTGCCTGTCCCAGTAACTACCAACAAACCTGGCTGATGTGTAAATAGTATTATCACAATACTCCCTCAACATGTGGTCACATATGCAACATGCACATATTATTAATTTTTATGGAACTTTCTATTTTTAATAGACCGGTGTTCAAATAATTTCATTCTTGGATAATACTAACTGCTTTCTAATATCAATGAGTATTTATTTTCTTTTCAAACATGCAAAAACAAGCCAAAAAAAATAAAAAATAAAAAAATAAATAAATAAATATTAAAATAAAAAAAATAGAATCAACAACAAGAACAAAGTACATGAAAAATTAAGTAAATATCATATTTAGATACAGACAAAATCAAACAAAACACATGAAAACAAAATAAATAAATAAATAAATATTATAGAAATGAATAAATGAAATAAAGGAAAAATAAATATATAAATAAATAAATAACTTTAAAATATAAAATAAATGAATAAATAAAAATATATAAATACATAAATAAATTCCAAATTAAAATTTCACCAAAATATTTCCACTGTGCTTTTTATCAACCATATTGAGTCTCTTGGCTTATGTAGAAATGTACTTAGGGGATAAACATTAAGTATCTCATTGTCTTTATATTACAGTAACACATACATTTCACAAATATTTCCAAATTCTGCAGCATAATTTTCGATATAAAACTCCCATTTGAAGGGGTACAAAACTACTGTAACAAAAGGAGTCAATTAAGTCCTGAAATATGTTGATTTATATTATTTTTAATTAGATTTAATTTTTTTAGATTTTATTTTTTTATTCATTTTTTATTTCCTTTTATGTATTTAAAATCATGTTAATTCTTATTATAAAATTCCTATATACTATCATTCACTTTTTATAAGCATTAATATTTTTCACGTACAACTTGGAACTAGTGGTTGTCAGCGATCGCGATTTTAGATCGGGCGTGGTATACGGTATACCACGACAACTAGTAATGGCGTCCGATTTTGGTCGATTCTCAGGTAAAATTGGCTATAAAAATGTACGGATAACAATATCATTCAAGTAATCACCACCTAAACCCTTTATGTATCCCAACTAATTCATTTTTAGGGGGATTCTACCTTTTTGTCGGGGATTCTTCTTCCTGTAGCGGGATTCTCCTGAAATCCCGGGATTCCTGATAGTCCTAGCACCCATCAGAAAGGTTATGTCTTATGATAAACAGATGTTTTTAAAGACATTTGTCTTTGTTACTTTACCGTCAGAAAATTTCTTATAGAAGTGGATTATCAGTAAAGGGTGTACAGCAAGTATTTCTTTGGTCGACGGAACCGAAAATACATTCTTATGACAAGGACAGAGGATTCAAATTGTGCATGTTAGGACGTTGGAGTAATGGCAAGAAATAACACGTAAGGAACAATAGATTCGGCCCCCAAAGTGACCAGACCATAATTTACAAAAGTGTGCTTACATTTATTATTTGTAGATTAAAGTTGTTTTTATGTGAAAATGTCGACTACAGTGGACCGAGGCACAGCAATGGATCATAGTCATCTTTTAGAGAAGGAAACGGAAGCGAGGTTAAAATTTGAGAAAGCTTGTCAACAGATCGCACTATTGGATCAGAAAATCAAGGACTTGGAGGTCAGGTATAAACGAGCAGTAAAAAATAAGAAAAACTCATTCCGATACAACCTGAGATTGAGACTGTCTGTAGTTACAGGAGTGAAAATGATGTATCATCACCATGCCAGCACAAAGGCAGAAGAATTAACAAGAATTAGAAGACAGATTAATAACTCTATACAGAACTCTGAAGCAGGTCGAGACCGAGAATCTAGAGAAAATCTGGACTTTGTTCCTGTACGCTTGAGAATGTCTCGAGACAGAGAGTCACGATCAAGCCACAGTAGCCATAGTAGTCACAGTCATGCCAGCACATCAGTAGAAGAAGAGGCATTTGCTCACCACAGTGGTGGATGTTAGTGAATATTAGTGCTTCATTTTTTTTTTAAAACAAATAATACTCTTTGATGGAATTTATTATCTTTGAAATTTTTGTTTGTTACAGCCAAACAAATCTATAAAATAGTATTTTAAAAGTTAGCAACATTATAGTATATAACATGTATGAAATTTACATGTATGTGTTTGGTATTTTGAGCTGATAGTCAATGTTAGATATATACTTTGGTCATTATTCATAATTGTTGAAATGAATTTTATACTATTAACTTGATAAACTATGTTTTAATGAATTAAATTAAATGCATGCATGCAATTGTGTAAAGTCATGCTGTTCAGTATATCGTATCTCTTGTCTCAGACTCTGGTATCTACTGGGGCTAAGATTTTCATATTGGATTTTATTTTTAAAAATGGTCTTTGAACAGTTATGCATGATTGTAATTCATAAAAGAGATACAGAATTCTTCAAAGCAATGAAAAAATTCAATGTACAAGTACAAGCATGTTTTTTGTGGTTTCTCTTATGGTTTCTGGTACAATGTACAGTGTACTAGAAGTCAAATTATTATCATCCATATCTTGTTGCTTTTTTTTCTTCATTTTTTCATATTGTTACATTTTATGGATCGATTTTATACACTATTGTTTATCCATACACATACTGTTGTGCATGTTAAAATTTAAGCAATTGGACATAATACAAAGGGTTGCATTTACATAATTGAAATTTGTTGTTCATATCATTTTTTTATCTTCATTATCATATGTGTTTTAAATATGCCTTCTTTCATAATTAATCAATGATTTTCATGAATTTTTTAACCCCTCTATTTTTTGTTTTTAGATCAAACCTACAAAAAATTAGAAAATTGATTGGTACTGGTTAAGTTTCATGAATAGAATTAAAATTCAATGAAAATAATATGCCTTCTTTCATATTAATCCATGATTTACATGAATTTTTTAACCCCTCTTTTTTGTTTTTAGATCAACCCTACAAAAAATTAAAAAATTGATTGGTTACTGGTTTAGTTTCATGAATAGAAATAAAATTGAATGAAATTAATGAATTTTGTTTTAAATTTTTCTTTATTATAAAGGAGTTTTCATACAGTAGTAATACATGAAAAAGCATTAACAGGAAAAACACTCAGACTCCTGGCTTGGTACATACCTCTCACACTTTGTATGGCACCTAGTGGAGTCAGCCCAGGGTTGCCAATCAGCTGATGATTGCCAATTGACAGGAAAAATTGGATGTACCGGTATACTCTTTTACAAACTGAAGTACATGCATACAATGTAAATGAAAAGGGCACTGTGGCAGTCAGAATTTTGTTCCCAGTGATGTTCATAACCTCCTAATGGCTTTGGGATGAGGTCAAAACACCAGGGCACACCCAAAGGTTGTTTTTATATGAGCTTCAAATTTTTATCATTACAAAGTTACAGACCAGGCAATTTTTTTATGTACCAGTATATTTCTGCGAGTAACATTTTGTTGAAAAGCAGGACAATAAATTAAGGCACAAACAAGTATGAAGTATGAACTTTCAGTGCTTCTCAGTTTATAAAATTTTAGCCTAGACATTATTCCAGAGGTAGACAACTATGACTCTTATATAGCACCTCCTCCCCAAACAAATTTTTTTGGGTTACACACGATGAAAACTGTCATTCAGTTAAGAACCCTCCCTACACTGCACACTAAAGAGTTCTGATTCTATGGTATTTTTCTGCAGTTAGAGTGATCTGCCCTTAGATTTAAATTCCAATAAATAGAAATTTACAGTATATTACTCAATTTGTAATCAATTCAAGTATTCTTAACATTTTAAAAGGCCAAGATAAATTAATTGAACACATTATTTACATGTATTTTCTCCATGGAAGTAAACAACAGCGATTTCTCTTCCTGATACTGTGTTGTGTTTGAACATTTTTCCTGGGGGTAAATGCCACGTACCATATATTGAAAATTAAATATATAAGCTCAATATTTACACCTTTATTCAATATTATTTTCTCGATGTCCAAAAAACATTTTGCACTAGTGTAGAGAGGGTCCTTAACTGAAAGGTACGTGACTGAAAGATTTTTGAAAGGTGACTGAATGGCAGAGCTCTGCTATTCAGTCACCTTATCAGACCTCTCAGTGACCATTCAGTTGACTGAAAGGTGCAGTTTAATACTTTGTTTTACAATTCCTCCTACTTTTCAAATATCCATTACTTTTTTCAAAGAATATATTTGCATGGATGAAGAGTATTCATTTCTTTTTAGGTTACATAATTGCTTTCTGTTTTCATTTTTCTTTGTCCATCATGTGAGAACTTTTCACATTTTTTACTTCTCTAAAAAACCTGGGGTAATTTCAAACAAACTTGCCATAAAGCATACCAAGTAGTGGAGAATGAAGTTTGTTCAGATAAAGGGAAACAATCCTTTTTAAGGGGAGAAAATTAAGTAAGTACTGTATATAGTCAATGAAGACAGATTAGACAGAAAAGTATTTTAATTGATGCATTAGCCTTGTGTGCAAACTCTGTAAGATAGAGTAGCATTGTTTTTAAGCTTGTCCATCCCTCAGGATATGAAAATCAGCAGTTAATTAACTGAAAATTGTCACAAAAATGTTATGAATTGACGAAGTTAAGTGTATCTACTCTTGCAATTTTCTTCAAAGTTCATCATTATAGTTAATGGCATTGGATGGTCTCAACTATGTTTTAATAACATGTGAATACAAACACCAATTATGAAAACTGATGCACAAATACATTGAATTTCATATATTTCAGGATTTGGCAAGAGACCCAAGGGCCTTGAGTATAATACAAACATGTATGGCGCGCCAAATTCACAAAAATGAGCTAATCATATAGTTTCGCAGTTGATAAACTAGGTTTATCGATTGTAAACTATAGTTTACAGACCGTAAACTATAGTTAACGATGATAATCTATATTTCACATATGTAAACTATAGTTTACACGATAATCTATGTTTCACAAGCGTAAACTATAATTAACACGGAAAACAATCATTTGCTACTGCAAAATATAGTTTATCGGATAAATATAGTTTCACGATTTGTAAACTATGATTTACAACTCTAAACTATACTTAACAAATGTAAATTATAGTTTAGGCTTTGTAAAGTATACTTTACAGACATACAAAGCGCCAAATTCACAAAAATGCGATAAACATAGTTTTACACTTGAGAAACACAGTTTAGGAACAGAATCTCTTATTTTGTATCGGAGATGCACAATTTTCTGTGAAACTAGATTTCACGACTCTAAACCATAGTTTACGATCAAAACCATAGTTAACAATAGTTTTTTGGGTTTTTTTTGTAAATTATAGATCGTCTAATCCTAGTTACAGCTTTTTAAGATTTTGCTATGTTACGACAATTGTTGTTAAATATATATGCATGTATATTTCTTGTTGGCGTTATAAGTAAATGTTCTATTATTTTAAAGCAAATCTAGTTGGAAATAAAAAGAAAAATGACTGGAAAATTATTGATTGAAATTTTATTTTTTTGATTTAAAAGAGAAAAATAGAGACCGAAATGCGTGATCTGTCATTAATAAAATACATGTATATCTTATATTCATCTGTAAATAAAGACATAACACAGTACATGTAACATTGCAGGCGCGGAATTTATTTTTCAACAACCGAATTTTCTTCATACATAAATAAAAGTAGCCTTTCACGGAACAAACACAACAAATATTTGGGACTTTTCTCTCATGCATTCTCTCTCTCTTAAATTCAAAGGAGGACGTTGAAACCCCCACAACCCTATCTATATCCGCCACTGCATTTCCTCTCTTTCAGTTTCTTTGTTTTGGTGATGAGATGTGGCGGGAAAATGCTTGGCACATTGTAAAACGCGCTTCACCCTCCTCTGCTTGAGCAAAAATCTCGTAATATTCTGTCTTTTAAAAAATTAAAATTTTATCATATTTCTAAAAATTTCCCCATAGGAAATGTATATATACACGACATTTTAAAACAAATACAATTAATCCTGTTTAAATAGAGAAAGTAATATTGATTATATATAACTCGGTCTTTGCTTTAGATAATGCTCAACACGTGTCCTTAATATTCTCCGCACTGATAAAACCTATACCCCATTATTGCTTCTCGCGATTAGTGCCGCGAAATTTCGAATTGAAAACTATCGTTAACAGTTAACAGGTGTTTAGATTCATAAACTATATTTAACAACTCTTCACTATAGTTTACGAGTGTGAATTATAGTTTATTACGATAAACTATGATTGGCAAATGTGAATCATAGTTTAGCTCTCAAAACTATAGTTTACGATCGATAAGTATAGTTTACGTCTGTTAAATATAGTTTGTGAGTATAAATGACAGTTAACTATAGTTTACAACCGAAATCTATGGTTAACGAATGTAAAACATAGTTTATCTGATAAATATAGTTTCACGATTTGTGAAACTATGATTAACAACTCTTAACTATAGTTCACGATTGTAGATTATAGTTTACAGATGTGAATCTATGTTTATCAACAAAATCTATTGTTAACGTTTAATTACAGACAGATAAACTTAGATTAGCATTCGTAAACTATAGTTAACAACCCTTAAATATAGTTTTACAGATGAAAACTATAGTTAACGAATCGTTAACTATAGTTCACGGTTTGTAAACTATAGTTTACAGTCGACAAACCTAGTTTATCAACTGTGAAACTAAGTTTCGCTAATTTTTGTGAAATTGGCGTGCCATAAACATGTAAAGTATTCATAAAATGGCAAATTAAAGTTTTGCCAAAGATCAAGATGTCCAAAAATTTATTTTTACAATAGCTCCAAAACTATGTGATGTATAAGGTTAATTAAAACTTTTACAGTTTATAAATATATCATTGACTAACAGATAGAAAGTATCCCTTGAAAACAAATATTTAAAAAAAAAAATATTTTTTGAGAAAAAAAAAGATCAAAAAATTTGCATATTTTAAAAAAAAAAATGCACCTGCCTAATTCTGTACTTTTAGTGAAAACCATCATTGCAGAAATAATATATGTTTATCAATGAAGGGCAAGTTGGATGTGAATGGTCTCTGAAAGGCTGTTATTGAAAGCATATGACATGTATAAAGACAAGACCCCTATAGAATCCGCCATTTGCAATGTACTTTCGGTTTCAAATCTTAACATTTGGTCAAAATAGACAGGGAAAACAACTTTCCAGAGGCTATCGAAGTCCAACCTGCCCTTCATTGATAAACATATATTGTTTCTGCAATGATGGCTTTCACTTAAAGTACGGAATTAATTAGGTGTATTTTTTTTAAAAAAATATATGCATTTTTTTAAAAGAATTTTTCTCGATAAATGTTTTTTTTTAAGTATTTGTTATCGAGTGATACTTTCTATCTCAGTTTATCAATGATATATCTATAAACTGTAAAAGTTTTAACTTTATAAACCACATAGTTTTGGAGCTATTGTAAAAATAAATTTTAAGACATGTTGACCTTTGGCAAAACCTTAATATGTATATAATAAAACAAAATAAACTAATACTAAGGTGAAGATATGTTGTCCTATAAGAAGGGATAAGATGTTCAGGGATCAAGAAAATATTTAGAAAGGTACCCATAAAAAACTCATTGGATCTATCATTAGATTTCCATACATAATCAATAGAGCCCTGTCCAGCACCATGGCCCTTGACCCAGTGGTCAAAAATTTACAAATTTGGTTAAAAAATTTTGCTCATCACAAATTTGTATTCTGTTTGCCTTTAGATGCCCAGAAGCAGTGAAGATTTCCAAAGAATTAATGCATTTATACAATATAACCATTACCTTGCAATTTAACAATAGTGGAAGAGGCACCTTTGCTCATCATAATCATGCACTTACTTAATGTTTGCTAAATAGATAAATGGGCATAAAAGCCTTTAAAGAATTTATGCACTTTCACTTTATAATCAATAGAGCCCTTCCATAACATCAGAGCACTATTCCATGGGGCCATTATTTCAGTTTTGCAAGAGGGACCCTTGTTTTTCATAACATGCACTTAAAAGTATGACTGCTTAGCCTAAATACCCAGCTGAAGAGATTTTTTTCTTCCAAGAAATAAAGCATTTTCACTAATCAATATTGTGGCCCACCTTATCTCTAGGGAATTTAGAATTAAACTACCTCAGGAAGCTTCCACATAAGTTTCACCTTTTCTGGCCCAGTGGTTGTTGAGAAGATTTTTTTAATGACCCCACATTTTTGCCTTTTCTTGATTATCTCCCCTAAGAAACAGGCTTGGCCTTTCATTTGTATAATTGAGAATCCCCTTTTCCCAAGGATGCTTTGCGCTTTGATTAAAATTGGCCCAGAGAGGAAGTCGAAAATGTGTGAAGTTTACAGAAGAATGCAGGACAATAGCTCACTTGAGCTTTCAGCTTAGATGAGCTAAAAAAAATTACACTTTTATCAGAGATATCAACAACTTTATTAACAATGTACAGCCTTGCTAGCTGATTACAACAATACAAATACCGGGAATATGTTCTTAGCCAGTTTGGCTCAAATGAAACAAAAGTGTACTACACAATATTTACAATGTACCTAAACTCATGTAAAATATACATTAAATCCAGATTTTTTGTTTAAAAAAAATCAATTTATCAACAATGGTTCTTCACTACATTTACATGAAATACATGTATGATTGCTTCTGTGTTTGCATGTACAAAATTTGTCTCTGATTTGTGAAAAACGGTCATTTGAACAATCAAAAATTCATATCCTCCCCCTGTCCAAAATATACAAATCTTTGCCTCCTTTTAATGAATTAAACAACCTGTATTTAAAAAAAATAAATGAGATAGGTAGTCATGTTTAATATACTATGCAAAGCTAAACTACTTTGTATGAAGCAAATACATGTATACAAACGTTCTAAACGTACTTTACACAAGAAAAATCAAAACTTTTACACAGAAAAGTCTAAAGGAACAACTACTTGTCATCAACAGGGAGTTTCATTTATTTGATCTCTTAATATCTATACATTATTAAAAAATCATGAAACTGTCCCATGATATTTCTCACCTTACTGACTAGGAAATTGAGAACTAATGTAACGTCTTAGATTTAATGTATCTAGCACCAATTACAAGAACATTTTTGTTGATCTCATTATGAGATAGAATTAATTCACCTCTACTACAGAGGATACTTTGTAGCTTATTTACATAAATGATAGAATATCACAAACAGCAGCTGTTGTACAACTCACTACAACCTTTAAGTTACAAAAACTATACTACCAGGGTAATTCAGGTTTGGACCTATCTCCTACACAACATTGATTGCATTTTGAATTACAAAGGAGTTGGTGAACAAGGCGTGCAAAATGTCTATAGCTTCAAATGTATAAAAGTTATATTCTATTTGTGAATTTAAAATTTGACGTTGTTATTATTGAAAGATTTGAAATTAGGCCAAAAGAAACTTATCTGCAGAAAATTCTTTCAGCAAAAATCATTCCATGAATTAAAATTCGGTATTCCTTGGGTTTGAACCCAAGCAATAAAAATCCTGAGTATCTTTTTTTTCTTCATGACTGACATGTTAACCACTATGCTACAAAGCTCATGACAAATAGCAGCATTTGACTAAATGGACTTCAGATATTTCTTGGAAAGATATGAAATTTGTGTCATAAAAGTGTATTTTTATGTATAGTGGGTCATTGTTTCACTTTTGTTAACCAAAATATGAATATTTTTATGCATACTTTGAGTATAATCTTTCAAAAAAAACGAAGACCAGTTCATATGGAAAAATTATAATATAGTATGAAACAAGAGGCCCATGGGCCTTGAATCGCTCTTCTGATAAACTGTACAACCTATCACTTCTATTTGAAGCCTCGAAGTATCCTGTATATTTAGATAAACCCTTGAAATTCCAATTCACACTCTGAGAACCCAAGATGATTATAAGCCAATTAGTACCTGAGAGTTGGTCATGGTGACCTACTTATCACTTGTCATTCTCTGAGGACCCATCAACTAAATTTGATGATTCTAAGCCAATTAATACCTCAAATATTTTTTAAAATTATAACCATAGAATTTTATAAGTAGGTCAAAGTGACCTACTTTTCAATTGTTTTACTCCAAGGACCCAAGATGCATCAACTGACAAAGTTTGATGATTCTAAGCCAATTAGTACCTGTAATATTTAATTAAAGCCATAATTTTTCAAAAGTAGGTCACCGTGACCTACTTTTCAGTTGCTGTACTCCGAGGACCAAAGATACATCGACTGACAAAGTTTGATGATTCTAGCCAATAAGTACCCAAAATATTTAATTACAGCCATAAATTTTCAAAAGTAGGTCACCGTGACCTACTTTTCAGTTGTTGTACTCCGAGGACCCAAGACACATCAACTGACAAAGTTTAATGATTCTAAGCCAATAAGTACCCGAAATATTTGATTAAAGCCATAAATTTTCAAAAGTAGGTCACCGTGACCTACTTTTCAGTTGCTGTACTCCGAGGACCCATGACGCATCAACTGACAAAGTTTTATGATTCTAAGCCAATTAGTACCCGAAATATTTGATTAAAGCCATAAATTTTCCGAAAGTAGGTCACCGTGACCTACTTTTTAGTCAACCTACTCCGAAGACCCATGACGCATCAACTGACAAAGTTTGATGATTCTAAGCCAATTAGTACCCGAAATATTTAATTAAAGCCATAACTTTTCAAAAGTAGGTCACGGTGACCTACTTTTTACTCGACCTACTCTGAAGACCCAAGATGCATCAACTGACAAAGTTTGATGATTCTAAGCCAATTAGTACCCGAAATATTTAATTAATGCCATAAATTTTCAAAAGTAGGTCACTGTGACCTACTTTTTAGTCGACCTACTCCGAAGACCCAAGATGCATCAACTGACAAAGTTTGATGATTCTAAGCCAATTAGTACCTGAAATATATAATTATAGTCATATAAACTGAAAAGTAGGTCATGGTGACCTACTTTTCAGTTGACCTTTTCTGAGGACCCAAGATGCATCAACTTACAAAGTTTTATGATCATAGGACTTAAAATGTCCAAATTATGCCTCTAAAATGCTTTGAAATTGAATGCCTGCAAAGTTCAAAAAGTAGGTCACTGTGACCTACTTTTTAATAAATATGTTTTATGGCCCCAAGATGCATCATCTTACAAGATTTAATGATTCTAAGCCTCCCCGTAATCGAATTAATGACCTTAATTGTTTTAAAAAAGATTAGCCATAAAATTCAAAAAGTAGGTCAAGGTGACCTACTTTTTAGTTGACGTACTTTGAGGACCCAAGATGCATCAACTAACGAAGTTTGATGATCATATGCCTTAAATTGTTCAAAATATGCCTCTAAATCATTTTGAATAAGAATGGCCGCAAAATTTAAAAAGTAGGTCACCGTGACCTACTTTTGAGTCAACATGATATGAGGTCCTTAGATGCACCAACTGACAAGATTTGATGATCCTAGTCCTTATAGTAAGCAAAATATCAACATTTTCATAAAATGTAATTTTTGGTCAACTTTGAAGTGACCTTGAGACCACGCCCTTTGCCCCAGGGTAAATCCCCGTGCAAATTTTAATCTACAACATATCCTCATCCTTTTGTGTAAGTTTGGTGATAATCTGCCCAGTGGTTCTTGAGAAGAAGATTTTTTAGCAACCAGTACTTTTGTTTCTGTTTTCCTAATTATCTCCCCTTGTTAAAGGGTCACAACCCCAGTTTTAGTATAAAAGGGAGCCCTTGGGCCAAGGATACCCTGTGACAAATTTGACAATAATTGGCCAAGGGGTTCTTGAGTTATGGCCCATATTCTAAAAAGTTTACGCACACCGCACACCGCACAAATGGCCATAGCATTTGCTCTTTGAGCCTTTGGCTCAGAAGAGCTAAAAATGATAAGGACAAAGAGACTTAACCACTCTGATAAAGAAATGTAAAGCTGTTAAATTAATAAAACCAGCTTTGCACAATATCTACCTCAAACAATAGATTATAGAAAAATGGGCTTAGGATAGACATTTTTCTCCATATCAGGACAGCAGAGTATTACAGTATATTCATGAAAAAATTCAGCTGCACATTTACATCCCTCAATGTTAATATTTCCTCTCAGACATGAAAAATGAGAAGTCAAACTTTTAAATGGTACATGTACATCTAACATTCAATATGAAATTATTTGCCCATCATACAACCAAGAGTTTTCTCTTCTTTCTCACAGTCTCAACTCCATAAATGCTTTTCTCCCAAACAACTTATGAACATGGACCTTTTGACAATATACAAGTATATGTAAACTCCTTTAACCCTGCATCATTTTAACTTGTTCATGAATCTTGTGGATCATTTTGTCTAGGTGATCCAATCCATCTTTAAGCATTTGTCTATAAAAGAAAATCACACACCATTCATTGAACATATTTATGTAAATGCAGGATTTACTTTTTATGTACTTTGCATATAAACTGGAGTTATGATAGTTTATTTTTTTATACTCTACACAGTTATTAGCTTTAAAGCAAATAAGGAAGGACTTTATTGAAATACCTCTTGCTTTCCATCCCAAATAATGCCTGCACATTAGCCACCTCCAAATTACCATCTTTTGCCTGAAATAATAGAATATACTTACGTTAAACTTGTGTCTTAAAGTTTCTGTTAAACAGCTTTTTTCAAACGTGTGTCTAATAGCTATTACATTGTAACAGTAACCTGATGACCTTCACTTTTAAAATAAGAATTCTTAAATCAATGGCATATAAACTCATGATTATGATAAAGGTATAATGAGCTGAATCCCATCTTGTGATAATCTGATCTTAATTGCAGAATCGCTGAAGAGGTTTTTTGATCAATGTAGTTACATGTATGAATATATTCTGTGTGGCACATGTCCATAAGAAAGGAAAATTAAAGACTGAATTAAATACTAATTGCAATTCTTCTTAAGACCCCTGATTACAGTTCACATATCCAAAATTCTACTGGATCTATATTCAGTTAGGAAAAAAACCCCACAATTTCAAAATATTAAAATTGACAGAAAGACATGATTTACTACATGTACCTCCAAATTTAATCTAATGTAGAAGCTGTTCAGCTGAACACAGAGTCCATGAACAAGAGCTGCTTTGTCTAATATGTCCTTTGGGCTGAACCTTAATGCCCTGAAAAAGTTCAATAAAAGAATGGTCATCCAAAAAAATATACTGAAACATGATCATAAAAAGTTTACATGTTTTGTTTTGTTTATTTCATAAGAAAAAGGGAAGAGAAGTAAATTTTTTATCATTTCTGGTATAACGCTCTTATCTATGACCTTGACTCATTATCTGTTAGTGAGAATGAGAAGAAAACAATCCTGTACGAAATATCTTCAAATTCATGTACATGTAGATGTATTTCCATACAATTTCATCATAAAATAAGCTTTGATTGCTTGAAATATACATGTTTACAGCAGGATACCAATATCCACAATCTATGCAAACTTAGTCAATATACAATTCATAATTCTTTATAAAAGTATGAACCTGACAACCTACATGCACTTCTGATTTAGTCTACAGTGTGTAAATCATATACAGTCTTTACATGCAAATGTGAAAAGGCAACAGACAAAAAAATATGAGTAGACTGCATTCATGTATTAACTCTAGCAAACAATTAGCCAAAAGCTCATCCCAATGAAAATCTTCTATTCTACTTGTACCATGAAATTTAGTATTCTCTACATTCCATTTAAGAAAATACAGTACTAACTGCTCATATTCATATCGAATTCCATCCAGAGCTGGAATCAACTTCTGAAAAACAACCATCATTTTTTGCAGTCGCTCAGGATTAGTACTGCCATTTTTTCTCCTGTTATCAATCACCCCCTGGAAATCCTCACTGTAAAACAAATGAAAAGCAGGCATATTATTTCTAATTATGCTTTTTGAAAGATATGATAAAGGGGATTGGGGGGAGGGGGATATGTACTTACCAGCAGAAATACACGACATCCCATATGTTGGTCAGCTTAGATTCTACATCTTCTATACTTAAATGTTCTACTCTGTTCTTATTTTTGTCCATACATTCCTGCTAATAGATAAACAAACCATATATGAATCGTTTGTTAACAATTTGAAAGTTCTTATTCCTTTACATAAATGATTTGCATGATGTATGATTGTGTAATTTTACATTCAAAATTATCGTGGTACATGCATTTTAAAAATTCCAATGTAAGGCAATCTGTCAAGTATCTAAATTAAGTCATAAAGTCTAAATAAAAGAATGTAAATGGACATCATTTGATGAAAGTGTGCAAAATTTTCTTCTTTTTTGTTTAAAAATATATTTTACATGATGTAATTTAATATTCAAAATCATTTCAAATAATTCAAATTGAGGTATGTATCTTAACAAAGTTGTACTCTAAATAAAAGAGGCAAAACCTGATGAAAGTGTGCAAAATCCATTAAATCTTCATTATAAAGTCACATCAGCATATCATAATGTTAAAAGCTCAACAAAGAACAAATTTAGAAAACATGACAGGCAGATGAACATGCACAATTAGTCCATTATATGTTTATACGTGTAACTTTATATAAAAACAGGCATATTCTAATCACCATTAAATATGACCTATACTGGTTACAGACATGTACTGTACTTATTGTGATGAACATCTTTTTTTGTATTGACTTCAGCCTACCTTAGTCTTTGACTCAGCAGGCATTTGCTTTCCAGCCAAGTAAGCCTCCAGATTGCTGACCTTGACATTACCAGCCTTGAGGTCATGACACAGCTGCTCACATTTCTTCAGCCCTGACAATGCCTCACTGACTGAGGTGTCATCTCTAAGCAGTAATAGTAATTACATTTATATAAAATAACCTTTGTTTTTTTTAACACAATATACATGTACATGTATGTATTCTTCTAACTCATCATTTTAAAAACATTATAGTTAAATCATGATTTAGCAAGATGGGATCTGAGACAAATACCATCAACAGTGAAAAAATTTGCACAACATATTCTAAAAATATTTGCTTACATTCTTGTTTTATTCTGGGGTCATAAGAAAAAAAAACGTTCATATTCATGTATATTCATTTGACAGAGAGAACAATATGACTCATAAGAACAATAGGAAAAATCTTACTTTTTATGTTTGTAACATTCTTCCAACAATTCTAGGCAGTCGTTCAACAGGTACCGGTAAATCTCGAAACTCAGATGGAAATCTGTTTAAAAAATTCTCAGCATTGAATGTATAGTACTGAAACTCATTATTTTGAATTTCACATCAAGGAAAACTGCTGGCATAATAAAATGTAAAATGGTACATGTTTTACAAACAATGAACAAAAAATTTGCCTATCATCACTAAATCATGGATTGTAGTCTAAAGAGTTCTTTCTTACTTATTGGTATATAAACCTCAAATGGCATCACAAACATGTACAAATGAACTAAAAATACTAAGACAATGCTACAAGAACAAAATTATAACACTATCTATTATGATTCTCTGTTTCTGAATCAACTACAGTAGAGCCTCAGCAAAATGGACACTAATAATACAGATACTTCACCTTCTAAACAAAATCTGAGTGGAACAGAAGTTAAATTTATTTCTACTGATTTAAAAGATCTGTTTCAGTAATCAAGGTGCATCAATATATGGACAATTTGCTTTGAAACATAGCCTGAATAAAGGCAGATTAAAGGCACAACTTTAATATTGAGTCTCCCTTTTTCATCTTTTTTGAACTATGCAGAGACATATCACTTCACTTCACTGCATGAAAACAAGTGGCCCATGGGCAACAACACTCACCTGATTAACTTTAGCCCTGCTATTCTTATGATTTTAAAAAGATTTTTCTCATTCATATTCCTATGAAAAATATTATTATATACCATATTATAGCCCCACCTTAATTCTAAGGGGTCTCTGAATCCAAACAATATGGGGATGCTTCAATATCAAAATGATTAATATGGTCTTGAAATTAATGAGAAGAAAAATTTTATTCCAGTATCATGCATTACCTTAACTTTAATCCCAATTTTACCTAACTCTAACCCAAGGTCCATGAATTTAAAAACAAGAGGCCCATGGGCCACATTGCTAACCTGAGCACTATGGCTAGGAAAAAAGCAGAAATCAGTTCAGTATTGAAAAGTTCAAAAGCAAAAATGGTTCTGACCTATCCTTAAAGGGGGGGGGGGGGGGTATGATTTGAACAAACTTGAATCTAACCTAACTAAGGATGCTTGCATATTTCTTTGACTAACTGTGGGTTTTTTCCTCTTTAAGGTTGAACTTACAATATGATCCCATCCTACCCCCTGGTCATAATTTGAACAAATATGAATCTACACTACCTGAGGATGCTTCCATATAAATATGACCAATCAAGGCTTTGCTGCTCTTGAGAAAAAGATTTTTGAAGATTTTTTTCTATATATTCCTTTATGTAAAACTTTGATTGTCCACTGTGGCCCAACCCTAACCCGGGGGTCATGATTTGAACAAACTTATGAATCTATACTACCTGAGGATGCTTCCATATAAATATGACCAATCATGGCTCTGCTGTTCTTGAGAAGAAGATTTTTAAAGATTTTTCCTATATATTCCTATGTAAAAATTTGATTGTCCATTGTGGCCCTGCCCTACCCCTGGGGGTCATGATTTGAACAAATATGAATCTACACTACCTGAGAATGTTTCCATATAATATTCATCTTTCCTGGTTCAGTAGTTCTTGAGAAGATTTTTAAAAGATGCCATTAATTTTTCACTTATTTTTAATTATCTCCCCTTGGAAGAAGACATGGCCCTTCATTTGAACAAACTTGAATCCCCTTCACCTAAGGATACTTTGTAGCAAGTTTGGTTGAAATTGGCCCAGTGGTTCTTGAGAAGAAGTCAAAAATGTGAAAAGTCTACAGATGGACAGAAAGCTAGACAGATGGACGGACAGACATATGCCAGACAAAATGTGATCAGAAAAGCTCACTTGAGTCTTCCGCTCAGGTGAGCTAAAAATGAATCCACACAACTTGGAAATATTTATGCAAATCAATAGTTCTGTTGTATTTGAACAATTTAGATTCTTCATTATATCAAAAACAAGTTTCATCTTTTTCTAGTCTTCTTGAGAAGAACACTTTTAAAAAAATGTTCCAATGTATTCCAATGTAAAACTCTGATCCCCCTATTGTGGCCCCAACCCTACCCGGGGGGGGGGGGGGGGGGGGGGGGGGGGGGGGGTCATTGATTTGAAAAAATAGGAATCTACACTATGTCAGGAGGCTTATGTATAAGTTTCATCTTTTCTGATTCAGTGTTTTTTGAGAAGATTTTTAAAGAATTTTTCATAGATATTCTAATATACAACTTTGATCCCCAACAGTGGCCCAACTCTATCCCCAAGGTGCAATGCTTTGAACATATAAGAATCTATACTATGTAAGGAAGCTTTCACATACTGTAAAATCATCATTGTTCATGGGGGACCAATATTCATAGATTTTGTTGGTCACCCTTACCAATGGATTTACATCCACACAAATAATTCTTTCGAATCTTCTGTATAAACAAGTTTCCCATGAATTTACTTCCCCAAGTACCAGTAAAATTTTGCATGCTCACAAACATTGCCCCCACCCCCATCCCCCATATTAGAATGATTCTACAGTATGTTACATTTCTTCTGTTACAGTGGTTCCTGAGAAGAAGATTTTAAAAGAAGAACTGCGAACAATAGTATTGTTCTCCTGCCTACCTCCAAGTCAATTTTCAAAAGTTAAGATATTCGAATGATTTTTAATATTTATATTGACATTTATATGGATTTTCATAAAACATTACTTCTTTGGGAAAACAACGAGAGATAACTCTAAAATTTTGGTAAAACTCGTGTTTTTCACTATAGAAATCAACGGAAAACGGAAAATATTTTTAAAACATCTTCCCCCCCCGTGAAACAAAAATTCCTTTTTACGGGTAATATGGACTGTCATTTCACAAATTCATACCAAAGCTTTTTGTGTTTCACGGGGGGGGGGGGGGGGGGGGGAACATATGTTTATATACAAAAAACGACAAAAATGCTTATTTTTTCAGCAATTTCCAAGTGCTTTACAACTGAAACATTATATTTTACTAATATATATGCTTAATTTTATATGCATAAAACATAAGAAAAGATTTTAGAAACATTTATTCATATTCAAGACTATTTCAGAATATGGTGATGCTTTATAGCCCGATTTCAGTGGAAAATATCGTCTACCCCCCTTATTTCAAGAGCTGGAATTAGGGATATTTTACTATTTAGCACTGGAATTAAAATAATTAATCAATTGCCATTGAACTGTTCTTTGTATTAAACAAAGATTTTATGGCCAAATTGTCATCAATATTGAATTAAATGGTTGTAAAATGTAGGCGGAAATCGGGAGTTACCGTGCGTAGTTCTTTTTCCTATCTTTTCCAATGTAAAACTTTGATCCCCAGTTGTTGCCCAACCCTATCCCAGGGACCATTATTTGAATAATTTAGAAGCTACACTATGTCAGGAATCTTTCCCAAAAGTTTCACTATTTCTGACCCATTGGTTCTTAAGAAAAATATTTTTAAATGACCCCACCATATTTTTTACCATTTCTTGATGACCTCCCAATGGAAGAGGACTTGGCCTTCATTTGAACAATTTAATCCCCTCTCAGATGGCTAGACAAACAGCTAGACAGACTGATGCCGGACAAAGGGTGATGAGAAAAGCTCACTTGAACTTTCAGCTCAGGTGAGCTAAAAACTGCAGATATTTAAAACTTAATTCTACTAACTCACCTGCATTGATCTTAAATCTGGCCAATAGTCTGTCCACTACTGTACTTAAATTTCTTCTGTAAATCTGTCCAAATACTGCAATCCAGTGTCTAAAAAACCACATAAATCTAAAGGCATACTGTCCAAAAATCTTCAATGGTCACATTGTATATATAAGTACATAAAGTATATAAATACACAAGTATTTATTTTTTTGTTACTATTATTTACAAAATGTAGGTAAATGTGTTTTTATTCTTTACAAGAAGTACATGCACACTATGTTAAATTATAAAGGAAGACATTTATATTTGTGATACTGTAAAGAGAAGGTTACTTTTTGAAGCATTCAAGTAGGTCTGAGAGGGTCCACGGGGGCTTCTTCAACACAATCTCTAACCTACAACAAGTAGTTCAGAAATTGTAACATACAAGTGTTATCAAGTGTGAATTTAGGTAACATGCATTTTGAATGTACATGTAACCAAAATGATGTTGTAAACAGCTGTTGTAAAGTTGTAAACATGCACAAAACTGTGTGAGGTTATAAAACTAAAAATTCTGTATAATTGAAATTGTGTAATGGTGTAAGAAGAAGTTGTCTGAACTTCAAAATGTCTTCTTTTTTTTTTACTTTTACATCTACAGAATTATGCATCTTGATGTTTTCTCAAGTTGTATCAAGTTTTTACTTTTAAATTCAAAACTGAAGGTAAAAAGGTATTCTGAAAGAACTTTTCTGATTAATATGCAACCCTAATTGGAGATTCAAAGGCATATGGTTTTTCATCTGTCACGCTGTCTGTCTTTTGTCTGCAAAACTTTAACCTTGGTCATAACTTATGAATGACTGGTTCTAAAGTTTTCATATTTCACATGCATATTCCTTGTGACAAGACCTTTCTTTGGATAAATCATGACTGTGACCTTGGAGTTTGACCCACTTTTGAAAAAAATTTAACCTCCTACTAATGAACAAACTGGTGATTAGACTTTCATATTAGACAAGTGCATTCCTTGTGACAAGACCTTTCATTTTTTACATCTTGACCTTGGAGTTTGAACTACTTTTGAAATACTTTAACCTTGGCCATAACTTCTATATGGTTGGTACTGGGGCTTTTACATTTCACATGAGTATTCCTTATGACCAGTCCTTTCTTTGGGAACCAACATATTTGACCCTTTGACCTTGGAAGTCTGAACTACTTTTGAAAGACCTTAACTTTGGCCATAACTTATGAACGGTTGGTGCTAGGGCCTTTATATTTCAAATGTATTCCTCGTGACAAGATCTTTCCTTAGGTACCAACATTTTTGACTTCATGACCTTGGAGTTTGCCCTACTTTTGAAAGACTTTAACCTCGGTGATGAGCTGTTATACAAATATATCTTCTTTTATTTTAGTGACCATGGCAAAACCATTCAGTGTTTCAAAAACACAACTTGTTTTATTTTAATGACCATAGAAAAAAACCATTCATTGGAAGATTTCCAGAATTATGCATCTTGGTGTACATGAAATCTGATCAAAACTATGAGAAATAGCATTAAACTGAAATTTAATTTCACACATACTTTATTCTATTCCTGCCTTAAAAGACATTCAGTGACAAAAGCATGAAAGCCTTTACCTTCACTTTTTAAAAGCAGAAAAAATGCAAGTCTGGTACAAAAACAAAATGGTTGAAATGAATAATTTTAACATAAGGTTCAGGGGTGATCTAGCCAGGGGTGCATCTTTTTATAATGATTTAATATGCACATTGCCATGTAGACGACCTTCTAATTCATACAAAATTGAAGCTGAAAAAAAAAGCATATCTGATGATATCTCGAATACCATGGATATGTCGAACTGATTTGGAAGTCCCAACCACTTATTCCTTAAGTATTTTACTCTCAATATCTCAAATCCTTGGATATCTCAAATTTTTTCTCAGTCCCATCGAGTTTGAGATAATGGTTTGACTGTATTTATTCCCATGTAAAACTCTGATCCTTGTTACCCCCACCCTACCCCCTGGTGTCATGATTTTAATAAATTTGAATCAACACTATCTGAGAATGCTTCAAATTTTTATTATAATATTATTATATTTCATATATAGGTTTTCTTCATATTTAAGGTCTTCCTTCTTCCTTTAAAATCTGATAGCCCATTATGGCTCCACCTTACCCTGGGGGTCCTGATTTAACCAACTTAAATCTGCACTACCTGAGGATATCAATGTGACGAATCCTGACTTTGCTGCTCTTGAGAAGAAGATTTTTGAAGATTTTTTTCTTAAATATTTCTGCATAAAAATGAAGCCACCAAATTTTCACTAATTCTTAATTATCTCCCCTTGAAAAGGGTGTGGCCCTTCAGGTGAACAAAATTGAATCCCCTTCACTCAAGGATGTTTTGTAGCAACTTTGGTTGAAATTGGCCAGTAATTCTGAAGAAGAAGTAAAAAATGTGAAAAGACAGACAGACATCAAGACAGCTAGCTAGACGGACAATGAACAAAAGGTGATCATAAAAGCTCAATTGAGCTTTCAGCTCAGGTGAGCTAATAAGCTTCATTAAACTAGTCAATCCTTTGACCTACACTTTATTTCCCAAAATACTTCATTGAAAAACAAATGCTGATATTGCTGTACGAGTATTGGCCAATCAGATTTCAGCAAATGTGCATGCACTTGTTTTTTACATCTCACATATATATGCATGTTCTTTAAGAGTCTCAAAAAATATACATGTACCAGTACATATATTATCAAAGATAATGAGAAACAGCCATTTTAGTATCAGAACTGAATCAGAATTGAGCACATATGCATGCATGCCCTTGCATTCTTTTTTGATATATTACCATGTCATATTGTCTTCACTGCTAATATTTGTTTATTTTCCGAGTTTCAAAGCATTTCATGGGAAAAAAAATGACAGTTAAAGCTATTTTTATTATATCAGTCAGTTTTCCTCATTGCTTATTAAATGCCTCTTAAATCTAATAAGGTTTTATCTCAATCAGATAAGTACATGTACCCCCATAAATGGTGAGAATACTCACAGACAAAATAGTGCCCAGGAAAAAAAAAGAAGAAAAATAATCAGAAACAGAGTAAAAAATAATATGTTCCCAAACTTCATTTGGGGAACATAATTTACTTTCTTCAAAAATGGTCAGTTTCTGACATCCTAACTCACCAAATATCATCATATGCTGCTTTCATTTCACGTTCTAAGACACTGGACAAAGCATTCTTCAACCACATTTTCAATTTACAGAGCATCTCATCCAACTGTAATGACAATATACATGTAGCATACCGGTAATCAATTTCTTTATATCCAAGTGAAAGGATTCATAAAAAAGAAGGGCAAGTCTCACAAGATAATTAGATTTAAGATTTATAATGCGTATTTTTTACATACAGATTTACATGTATATACAGTGGCCTTCGGCTATTACGAGATCGGATACAGTGAAGTACCGCTTACAACTGATGAGTTTTGAGTCCCAAATTAATTCTTATTTATTTCCTTCATAAAAATGCCTGATATAGCGAGATCACTTACAATGAGATTCTGTTTATAACAAGGTCAAAATCTGTCCCGATTAGTGAAAAGAGCTATCAGATATAACGAGATACTTGTGACACAGATGATTGCACAGGCAAGTTCCGGTAAATAACAGTAATTATCATAGGTATCTGTACACAACTTTGCACCACGGCAATTAATCGAAGATGTTTAAAAGTAATAATGAGCTGTTTTTATTGCGATGTTAACTTCAGTTTGGCTTCTACAATGTGAAAGGTCATTTCCTACCAAACAAAAGTAAAAGCTACATGTATTAGCGAAAGTTAAAACATTCACATAAAATACAAAGGATTATGGATAAGAGTTAAACAGTTTACACATTTAGGACAATTTTGAAAACCAAATAAAAATTTACATTGCCTCTGAGTTTTGGCCTGATGATTTCGATATACTGTACATGACTTGGTAGAGTTAGGGAACTTGCTCAGTCAGCATGTGGAGCTAAAATTAGCAATACTGGTTTATAATTGAGCTTTCTGATTCTTTCGGCAATGATTCTTAAGAGATTTTAACAGTGGTAATTTTTTAAAAGAAAATGAGATGGAAATAAATTCAAGAGGTTGGGGATGTTTTTTGAGAAATTTCTGCAAAATAATTTATTGTTGGAAGTGGTACACCCCCCCCCCCCCCCTTTTTCATTATGTATATTACGATGGGCAATGATGATTCTACTTTAAGTACTTTAGAAAATTTGGCACTGCAATGTATTTGAGCTTGATCATAATTGTGCAATGCGAATGATTATTCTAGTTACAAGTACATGTAGCAAACCAGTGATGTCTTTTATTATTTGAGGTCATTAAATATATTTACGTGCACTTATTCAATTGTGCATATTTTTTAAAAAATTATTTTATTTCGTTTTCAAACAGTGTATTTAAATACACCTCTTTATTTCACTGTTATATGAACATAATTTCACATGGGAATAAATATGCTCAATGATACATGCTGGTCTTTAATAAAATACTGATTAACTCTCAGCTTGTAAAATGCAGACTTTGGATATGTCTAATATCGGTTATAACGACATCTAAACCGATGTCCCTAGCATCTTGTTATACTGTAGTCCACTGTAATGTAATTAATCTAACCCACACTGCAATGAAAAACTTTTAAGGTTAAATTTTATGACAGAGCTGGTGACTTTTTATGCCTCGAAATAAGGATTCAGGGGCATATAATCTTTGGTCTGTCCATCTGTTTGTTCATAAAATTTTAACCTTGCCCATAACTTTTGAATGGTTGGTGCTAGAGCTTTCATATTTTACAGGTGTATTTCTTGTGACAAGACCTTCCTTGGGGTACCAACATATTTGACCTCTTGACCTTGGAGTTAGACCTACTTTTGAAAATCTTTTGCTGACTAAGAATCTGAGAATTTATCATCCTTTATATTTACATTTGCTGTGTATTTCTACTAAGCCAACTGTGAATTTGATTTGAATTCCATTTTCCTGTATACAGGGAAAAATACACAGAAAAACTTGCGCTAAAGTAGCGTCTCAATGAGGCTACAGAGATGTTAATAAAAATGTAACAATATAGGGCAGCGAGAAATTGAAATATTGAATATATTTTTGGTGCTTTTAAACATTTAAAATGTAAATATAAGGAATGTTTTTAAGTTTAGTGTGAATTATTGGTGTGTAAATCACACAGACTTGCACATAGACATATTTTTCATGAAGCGTAGCACGCTTCATGAAATATGCCTACGTGACAAGTCTGTGTGATTTACACACCAATAACTCACACAAAACTTAAAAACATTCCTTAAATAACATCATAACTAAAAAAAAACAACCTAATGAGTGGTCAGTACGTGGAGTAGTGACTTACCAACTGACTGAGGCTTTCTGGGGGGACACTGGGAGAAATGGCATGTGATTTGGACGGGGTCTGTTTAGATTCACTAGGGACCAATGCTGGATAATTTTCTGGAATAAAGAAAAATAAAACCTCCAAAATGAAAACTTCAGCTCTGTGTAAAATTACTGTAGAAAGGCATTGTTCACTGTGTGTGCATGCGTGTATGTATTTTTTATGTGCAATTTAATGTAAACTTAATCTATTACCTAAATAGAATTACTGATCAGCATAAATTTCAATCGTTAATTTCTTTAATTTTTACCAACAGTAATGTTAATTTGTAATTTTTTCATGTAATATAAGCATTCATAAAATCTTACTGTTTGCTATTTTGTTGAGGCAATGAGGTTGAAGAGATTTTACTCCATTCATTAATAGCTAAAAAAAGAAAATCTCATTTAGCACTGAAGATACTACCCATGGTACATGTAGATAAATAATTGTATCGTTTACATGAAATTCAATTAAATAATGAAAAAATCTGTATGACTGATGGAAAAATGTGAAGTAAGTACAGGGTGGAATAATTTGTAATCACTTTTATTTATGGCATGAAACCTATTCACAGTACATGTACTGATAATACAGATTGCCAACATATTTAGAATGAGCATTTTTATAGGCAGACAGGTGTATTTATGAAAGAGAGACAGTTGTTCATGTTGTATATATACAATGTATATACAATATTGTTCTATGATGTTAGCAAAGGAATAAGAGCAAGATTACAGAACATCTACCCTTCTCATTCAATTCAAATAAATAGCTGTACTTACAAAACTGTCAAATGCTGGAATTTTACAAATTCTGGCCTTACTAAGGAGGTTTTTATCATTACTTAACAGTATCACAGTTGAGTTCATTCCTGCAACAGAAATCAAAAGACTCCCATTCACATCTTAATTAAGCCAAATAATGCTTCCCATTTCATTATACGTAACTACAGCTAAAAAAAAAAATCGATATTAAATTTCTCTTTAAATATTCCTTGCATTAACAAAGCAAGTGGAAGTAGACAATAAAATTTTTATAAATGTACATGTATATACCCACATATATGTTAAATTATTGTTATCTGAACACTTTCAAAACTAGAAAACTGTCCAGTCAGCAAGCATTAGCAAAACAAGTTGAAGTACATGTACATGTAGTTCAAAAAATTTCAACAATGTACATGTACTTATACATGTAGATATTATATTCTTGTTGTCTGTACACTTTGAAACTGTCAGGAAGGACCCAGGAGATGGATATGCATCTAAGGGAAAGGTTAAAGGGATAAAAATATGATAATTTGATAAAAAAAAAAAAAAAATAAATAAATAAAATAGACAGACGGTAAGACAGAGGGATTACCTTATAGCAACGAAAAGTCTTTGGGGTGTCCTAATTATTCATCATTTACAAATTTTGGAGAAGCAGCAGTAGCATGTATAATATTTCAGTAAAAACTTACTATTTTTTTGACACTGCAAGCAGGTCTGTAGAATTCTATCATCATTGCACTCAGCCTGGAATTCTTTAGATGCAGCTGAAGCCTGAAAAACAAAAGTAAACATTGACATTACAAGAACTACCTGCAAGGTAATACATATATTCAAAGTTATCACATGATATACTTATGCTAAATTTGCTTCTTATAAAAAAAAGTTCATGCCGACCTTATTGAATTTTTTATATTATTTTCAACTTATTTGTGAATAATTTAATTCTGGTTATAACACGGTATTTCATTGGATAAAAAAAATTACTTTATATTGTATAAATTGGGTTGCCTACATCACAATGACATGCGTTAAAAACGTATCAATCTGCCTGATTTTACATTTAAATTTTGTACGATTTGAAGTCATTTTTTTTAGGGCAATCATCTTTTTAGCTCAACTGAGCTGAAAGCTCAAGTGAGCTTTTCTGATCACATTTTGTCTGTAGTCCGTCTGTCCGTCTGTCTGTCTGTCCGTCTGTCTGTAAACTTTTCACATTTTCGACTTCTTCTCTAGAACCACTGGGCCAATTTCAATCAAACTTGCCACAAAGCATCCTTGGGTGAAGGGGGTTCAGGTTTGTACAAATGAAGGGCCACGCTCTCTTTCAGGGGGAGATAATTAAGAATAAGTGAAAAATTAATAGCATCTTTTAGAAATCTTCTTCTCAAGAACCACAGGGCCAGGAAAGATGAAACTCATGTGGAAACATCCTCAGGTAGAGTGGATTCAAATTTTTTCAAATCATGACCCCCGGGGGTAGGGCGGGGCCACAATGGAGGATCAAAGTTTTACATAGAAATATATAGGAAAATTTTTAAAATCTTCTTCTCAGGAACAGCAAAGCCCTGATTGGTCATATTTATGTGGAAGCATCCTCAGGGTGTAGATTCTATTTTGTTCAAATGATGACCTCTGGGGGTAGGGTGGGGCCACAATGGAGGATCAAAGTCTTACATAGAAATATACAGGAAAATATCTTCTTCTGAAGAACTGCAAAGCCATGATTAGTTATTTTGATATGGAAGCATCCTCAGGTAGTGTAGATTCAAGTTTGTTAAAATGAAGACCCCCAGGATAGGGTCGGGCCACAATGGGTGATCGAAAATTTTACAAAGGAACATATAAGAAAATATCTTCTTCTCAAGAACAGAAAATCATCTATAGCATTTTGATATGGAAGCATCCTCAGGTAGTGTAAATTCAATTTTGTTCAAATGATGATCCCCGGGCGTAGGATGGGGCCACAATGGGGGATTGAAAGTTTTACATAAGAACATATAGAAAAAAATTTCTTCTCAAGAACAGAAAAGCTATGTTTAGTCATATTGATATGGAAGCATCCTCAGGTAGTGTAGATTCAAGTAAATTGTTCAAATGATGACCCCTGGGATAGGGAGGAGTCACAATGGGGGATCAAATTTTTACAAAGGAATATATGAGAAAATTTTTTTTAAAAATCTTCTCAAGTACAACAAAGCCATTTGTTAAATTGACATGGAAGCATCATAAGGTAGTTTAAAATTCAAGTCCCCCCCCCCAATCTTTTCAATACTGAACTGATTTGTGCTTTTGCCTAGCCAATATGCTCAGGTGAGCGATGAGGCCCATGGGCCTCTTGTTTTTTCTTATACTAAATGAATGAAAATTAAATCATAAGAAATTAGTTTAACAGATACCCAATTAATATGATATAAACTGGGTTGGAACAATTTACACTTTTTTAATAAACCACATTTTTCATGGATGAAGAAATGTTGAGTAGTTATATACATGTATATGAAATTTTACAATTCGTGGTGGGCCTGAATTCATGGGTCTCTTCATACCTCGAAAACAACGAAAATTAAACACCCACGAAAATTAGTGACTTCACAGTAAGTAACTCCAATGGATATCTGCTATACTCTAGATACTGATGTTCGAATGTACCTGTGTTGCACTTTGACCAATCACTCGCTGATGGTTGTCCATGAAACATTGATAAATATAGTGAACAGCTGCTCTGGCACATTTGCCAATCTTCATGGACTAAAAAAAAATAAAATTGCATTTGGTTTCCACATAGTACATGTCTTACAATTGATTTTTAAAGATTTTTTTCAAAGAGTACAAGTATTTAAACAAAGTAAGGTATTGTGGGCAAAATTCCTACAATCTTACCCAAAACCAGACATTTTAAATGTCATTTTACCATAGTGGCAGCCGATGACTTGTTTGATTTCAGAGCATCTAATTCCTGCATCACCACCCACGGAATGACTAGATTAGGAAGCCCAAATTCTATCAGAAAAAAATCAAATGTTAATTTCATATCTTCTTAAGCCAATGAGCTATTAAAATCAGTAGTCTTTTATTAACCTTTTAAAAGAAAATATTTCAGTACTTCTCATTTAATACTTCTTATACATGTGCTTAACTTAACAAATGCAAACAATAACCTATCTTTTAAAACTTACTAAACTCTTCACCATTGACACACATAGCATCAATCAAAATCTGTAAACATGGTAAATGTACATTTCATTTCAGTATGCACATGAACACTGCCATGTACTGGTGAAATCAACTTAAAAATACCAGTAATTAAATTTCAGATAAACATTTGACTGGAAGTACTGGTACATGTAATTAGTCAATTATAAGTCTCATTGATGAAACTGATGAGTGAGAAAATTCCTTTAAGCCAGGTTTTGTTCATTTTAATCAATTTTTGACTCCCTTAAGTTTAATTTCAAGTAGCATTAATTCAGTGTACATCGTATATGTAAAAAACATTTACATGTGTATGCATGTCCATGTTCATGTGCATGTATAAAATAAATCCAGATCAAAGGTTTGACTTACGTTCAAAGCAGTGGTCTCTGAGGTCTTGTACAAATGCCAAGTTACTTATGAACACATTGGTGTCAACAACTATGTGTAAACCCTAAAAGTAAGAATATCATAAAAAAATAAGAAAGTTCTTCTTAAAAAAAAATCCTACCACTGGCTACTAATTCTTTTATCGAGTCCACATTACATTGTATTATTATTTTCAGAATTAGTGATTATACACCAATGACACCATGAGCATGTATACCCAAGTCTTAGCTGTAAACTTCTGAGGTTTTCTTGTTATTTTAGCTCTATATCCACAAAAGGTTGAATCCATCTTAAAATTTCAAATTTTAAATGATTTTCTATTTCTTTCTCAAATGAAAAGACAGAAAAAACTGTCTTATTTCTGGCATGTCCCTCTTTACCCATATCAACAGTTCTATCAATATTTTTAAAGTGTAATGGAAGCCTTTGTGTCTACTATATGGCTCCTTTTTTTTTTGAAAAAAAAAGAGAAGATATTTTGACACCCTATATATTACTTACATGGTCTACACTTTGGATATGTCCTGGCTGGTCAGAAGTGAAAACTTGTGTCAGTGTTCCTATTACTTCACTTGGACATTTCTTCACAGATTCTCGAACTTCTTTTAGCTGAAATGTTCCAAATTTCTTTAAACCCCATTTCAAAGTTTATCATATATTGTACAATATTATACTAAACAATTGTATGAGAATTACAGGTAATATCTTTCTATCACACTACATTTTTCAAAAGATAACACAAAACCATCACTCCTATCACACAAAATATCACATTTACGTAAACATGTTTACTAGAATAATCACCTATTACCTGGTACTTGCATAATCTGATTGTTTCACCTACAAGTATTTTGCTATTCTCTCATAACATGGACAAACTATTAGTGGAATGGGAAAATGGGTACTAAGATGTCACATGACTGTGGACACAAGTATTTTAAACTCAATCAACTTCATTATTTCAACATATATGATAATTTTTTAGTACTAAACAGTCTATACCACTATATCTGATACATCCATTTCCTCAATCTCTCTGTCATCCTCCTTAGTAAGCACCTGCTGGACTTCATCAATCTCCATACTGATTTCCTCTCGCCGCTTTTGGTTGATGGGAACAGGAGTTTCATGGACACCTGTGGTAATATTAAGAATCACTTGAGATGCTAGGAAAAGTTTTTGCCACTGGCTTCCATAAAATGCATTCAAAGTCTGACTTATGTGGAAATTGAATCATTTAAAAACTTCATAACAAAATTAAATGCCATTAGATGATGTTGTGTACCAACCTTTCCATGGATTGACAACAGCTTTCTTCACTGGACCATCATTTTTTATCGTCAGCGTGATATTGCTGAGGTTACTTGTATCACCCACAGACAAAAATCCACTGTCATAAGATTGAACCAACACTTTACGATTGTCATTCTCCAGACTGAATGTTCCAGAGTCTGGTGAACCCTGATCCAAAGTTGGATCCGAGAAATCACCAAGAGGATCTGATGCTGGGTCATCTGACTCTAAATGATTGATCCATGATTGAATGTCCTCACGTTTTTTAGGATCATTTAGAAGTAAGTTATCTGGAGATGATTCCCTTGGGGAGAGGTTACAGGTGTCAAAAGCTGAAGGAGGAGACCTTTTCACAACTTTCCTGGTATCACAAAAATTCCATTCTTCTAATCCATCTGCTTTCAATCGTTTATTTGTAGGTTTATCATCTTGAGATAAAGACTCAGCACCTCTCTTTAATGTCATTTTTTCTGACGAAGCCTTATGTGATGAAAGTTTAATTACTTTTTTGTGTGGAATATTCTCAGATTTAACAGAATTCTTATCTAAAGTGATCTTTTTTGTTGGTGCCTTATAATGCTGTATCTGTTCATTAGAGGCAATAAGAGGTCTGTTACTCTCTTCTTTTCCAGTTTTGCAGAAATCCTGTTGAACAGATTTAGGGAGTATTGAATTCGAAGGAGGTAAAGGCTTATCCAATGCTGTTTGTAGTGATTGAACTTTGCACAGATCTTTTTGTTGCCTGGCGGACACTGTATTAGATTTGACATGCTGTTTTACAATGCCCAGTGGGTTACTTTGTTTGGTAGTATCTGAATGCAGGTTAGCTGAATTATAAGATACAGAAGGAATGGAATTGCTAGGACAAAAATCTGTTCCATCATGTGGCAGTTCTAGATCTAAGCTATCATTCTCATCACTGTCCTGGGTTGGTGAAAACTGGGCTTCCTGATAATTGGACCGGGGCAATATGGGCGCCGGTCTAATCTCTGCTTTTATTCTACTACTCACTGCATGTTTATTTGATAACTTGCCCTCTGATGATTTCTGAAATGTTCATAAATATCCCATCAATCTGTATGTCATTCTGATGTTCATTATATGAACTAGAAAACTGACCAGTCAGCAAGGGCCCCGCCGAGGGGTAGAAATATAAGGGTGCAGCTTACAGAATGAGAATTTTAATTGGTTACAAAAATTTGAAATATGAAGGAGAATATGCAATAACAACTGTATTTATAAAATTTCAAGATAATTCCTAAATATCCAACAACCTGTAAAGAGTATCCCTGTATTTACATACCGGTAAGGCAGTAAAAAACATATCTATAATAACTCAATTAAATGTATATTTAAACAAGAATAAAGCTTGTGTTTTATAAAATGCCAGCCTTCAGTGAATACAAATATCACCCAAACTTGACCTTAACTTCAAAACAAACATCAGTTGCAGACAAAGGTTAATTTATCTTATGCCCTGTTCACACGGAGAGTTTAATTGGAATTAAACGTAAGTTACTGCGAATTAAATTTGATCCGCGTTCACACGGAGAATTTAATGCGAATTAGTTTAATTCGAATTAGTTTACTGCACATTAAATTACTTCGCATTAGCTCTGTGTGAACCCTTAGCGAAGCTAATTCGAATTAAATTTTGACGCATGCGTAATGCCAAAATTAAGTCACCTGCCACATGACGGTGGTCAGTTATAGGTACCTATGCCATTTTTAGTGCAAAACAAATGAAAATTACGTTAATCACTGAAATGTGTATAGACACTACATATGACATTATGTCAAATGAATTTGCTCTGCATAAGGTGAGGTGATTTGAAAATGATGTCATAATAGCCTCACTGAAAAGCCTTACTGTAGAAATAAAATTTTAATTCGCATTAGTTTACTTCACATTATCTGTCATGTGAACGCAATTTAATTCGCATTATTTTAATTTGCATTATTCTACTTCGCATTAATTTACTGCGAATTAAACTCTCTATGTGAACAGGGCATTAAAATGACAAATAAAGATAAGCCTGGAAAATTTTCTGCCCCAGTCAAGATAATTAATCCCAAGGGATTAATTGTACTGCTCTCTCATCCTTTTCTTCCAAGTTTACAATAAGAACTCTTTCAGTAATGATAGAATGAGTTTATTATTGGACTACCCTTTAAAATTAATAGTATTCTTGAATTTACATACAGCAGCCAAAAGAAAAAATGAATAAATAAATAAATAAAATAAATAAATAAAAACAAAAAAAAACAAAAAAAAAAAAATTAAAAAAAACATATCTTTATGTATATCTCATTTTTAGAAATCAATAAATTCATAACTCATTGTATATTTTACCAAAATAAAGAATGAACATTATTTAAATCCACATATCAGAGAATGTAAACATCATTCAGAATCAACCTTAACTTCAAAACAAACTTCATTTGCAGACAGAGGTGCTAATTAATCTCAATTTGACAAAAACAGATAATGCTTTGGATTTTGTTCAAGAGAAAAGTTAATTAATCCCATGGGACTAGTTGCAGCTTTACAATAGGAACATTCTCAGCAGTTATCTCTCTTTGCCCTGGCATTCATTCTAATGTAAAGTTAAGGAATCTACCCCACCACCCCAGCTCCAAACTGGATGACATAGAGAACCAAACTTAGCATCAAAATATGTCTTACTGCCTCTTCAACCAACATACCAAATTTGAACTTAATTGGTCAACTACAAAAAAAGTTATTAGAAAAAAAACAGAAAATTTGTGGACGGAAGAATGACAGACGGACAGACAGACAGACAGAGTGATTACTATAGGGCACCCACAAATCCTTGCGGGGCCCTAATTATCATGAAGAAATTTGATGTACATTTTCTATACGATGGTATGACTTCTCTAGTAAACAAATTTGAAAGTGAAATGGTAATTGTTGAATTTGATACAAATATATTTATATTTGTACACATGTACTTACTAGATATGGTTTGAGGAGTTCAGGAATCTCCCAGGTAGATACTCCTGTTAATGTATTGAAATAGTAGACTTTGTCTGGATATGTCTTAGATTGTTTAACCACCCAACCATTTGGCAATTCCTGTTTTTCATGTTTTTTATAACTCATTTTACATAGCTGTCAAAAAGTTGATCTGAAAAACAAAATGTTTTATCATCCCATGAGTAATAATTATTACATTTTTGTCAAAGATGTTAATGTGGAAACTTTGAAGATGTTGAAACACAGAGAACCGTGATTGTCAGAATTTCCACTCGGCAACATTCTTACACTTGCTAAAGAGCATATATTAAAAACAAGCAGACAATCAAAGTTTTCACTCAACAGATTTCTAAAATAAGAAAATTGTCATACATTTCTACCTTTCAATTTGAGAAACTGGCTTTACCAGCAGATAATGTATTTAATTGCTTATTTATAATGCACTTATATTTTTTTTTCCTTATAAACACAACACTTATTTTAAACTGTAAATTCTTTGACTAAAAAGCACAGTTAACCATTTGATATATATTCTGAAAATTTAACAGAGGGTTTCATGTTGCAATTGTCAAAGTTGAAAATCGCCATTAGATGATTAAAGAAGAAAAGTATGGTATATGGGACAGATTTTGCAATCAATGCAGCTTCAGCAATAGCCTGATGACCAGGCCTATTAAATCATGCTTGGGCTTCTAAAAGTTTTGTTACTACCTGCATGTTGGGCTGGTAATTTTTTTTGAGTCTGTACCTATACTGTTAAGCAAGTTTTAAGCGTGTGCAAGAAATATATGCAAGTTTTGCGACCTTTCTATACTCGCAAATTTTTATCATTGTGAACCTCTTATTCTATTGTGTATTTATGTAAAATGTTTTCTCAGTTGCATAAATAAGTAGTCCTGGATGGATTTCTGACAGACGCTGAATATTTCATAAATAATAGTTAGTTTACAATATGCATTTTTGTGACACATTTTCAAAAAGCACATTGTTTGTTGTCTCTTAAAATCCTAAAGAGGTGAATCTGAGTTAAAATTGAATAGGTATCCAGTAATATACAACTGCACTGGCTCCAAGGGTTGCATCCTCAACATATTAAGACTACCTTGGAGTCTGTAATACAAAGACATAAATCATGAGATTTTTTACATTACCGATCTCAATCATTTGTCAAACTCTTTTTACAAAACGATTTTTTTTGTCATTTTGTTGGTACAGTAAAATGCTTCCACCATTAAATATTTTAAATAAAGATTCAAATGTAACATCGCCTTGTCTGCAAAGTATGACACAAAATCCTATCCAGGGTTATCTTTCTTGCTAAACTGATTGATAATGTTTAAAATATTGCAAATAAGTTACGATATTTGAGCGTCTGTCATGCAAGTAAACGATGTTATCAATGATTCCACAAACCACAGACTATGCCATAATTATAATACCCTTTCCAGTTGTGCAGAACTCCTGCAGCCTCCTGGCTAAATGTTTTCAGTTCTGCATGTTTTCGTCTCACACAGTACCGGAAACTGAATTAATAGTCGCAAAAATGTACAGAAGACAAACATGTTACATAGCCTAAATAACAAAATAAAGTTGAAGTAACTATTCACTATGTTTGTTATAATACAATCATATATATGTATAGTTTGACATAAATGCTTTTCTTTAAAAAATTACGACATAAACATTTTTTTTCTGAACCCGATGTGTAAAATAATCACCGATTTTAAAAAATATATATATATTTTATTTGAGTTTATCAAATTATAAATATAAGGAAAATTTTTTTTTAAAAACCCATAAAATATACTATAAAACATCTCAGAGTATATGCTAAGATTATATTAAAACAATTAATCGGGATCAAAATCTCCTACTTTTACACGTTCAACTTCCGGTTTATTTGTTTGGTTTTTGATCGAATTAACATTGTGAAAATTCTGCCTTTCTTCGAATCAAAATGAAATTACATGGGTAATGCAAGATTCCGTGCATGGTAAACAATGATTGAGGGAACACCCCGTCAAAACCAACTATCAATTAATCTTGGATTTGATGATTACAGCAATGGAAAAGACTACAAAAAGAGACAGTCAGTTTTCAGGGTTGGTAACAGATATTAGACAGGATTCGATGTTTGTCAATACATCACAATAATGATATAGTGCATACACATAACTAATATACACACGTTTTATTTAAAATATTTGGCAGTATAAATCTTAAATCTTTTTAAGGTATGGAAAAGGTTGTCCAGTTTACAGAGAAGTGTGATATGTTTTGTTCTACTATTGGGAGGGATCAGTATCATATATATAGTGTCCTCAGTAAGAAAAGGTCATAGAGGAAGTTATGGTGGACCAAGTGAACTCAGTGATTTTCTTGACTCGAAAGAGAGGCAGAAGATGGAGCAAGAGAAGCGAGATTACATACAGAAAATGAAACAAAGACATGCTGTGGAGCAGGTTAATCAGATAGTGGTAAGTTTTGAAAGCAGTTACAACTACTGTAAACTTTTTTCCCATGGGGTCAAAATTCTGCGGAATCACAATTTCTGTTCAATCCGTGAGTAGAAAATTACATGGATTTCTTTGATTGCCACTATATGTCTTAAATGTACTTTAAGTATGCTAAGACAAATTTCTGTACATAGCATAAACCACACAGAAAAAAGTACTTCTTCAGTATCTCTTTAGACTTAGACCTTAAATAGCTACACATTTTGAGAGTGCAAATAAGGTAGGATAAGCATAGCACAAATTTCAAAGCAGAGCGAAAAATCAAAATGTTTTAAAATTGTTCTTAGATAAAAATTTGCCTGATTTTTAATGGAGAAATTCTTTGATTTAACCCAGAAAAAGAATCAGGAAAATATTAGGAGGAAGAAGGGACCACCATCAAGGAAGAAAGCAACGAAAGAAGACAAGGGACTGGATAAAGTACAACTTCCTCCTGATGAGAAAGAGGGACAATTGGTAAGGGATGAACGATTTCCCAATGGGAACGAGGACGAGGATAATGACAGAGATGACAATGTTGATGGACATTTAGTAAGAGAGACATAAAACTGCTGCTCATTTTGACTGACAATTTTAAAATGAAGCAACTTATGCTGCTTTAATGTAATTATTATATACTAACAATACAGTGTATGTAGCAACATTAAAAGGCATACTGGAATTATATTACAGCTAAACTTCAAAATCTCGAACACGGATATCTCGAATACCCCGGATATGTCGAAGTAAGACCGCAGTCCCGACGAAATTTGCTTTAAAAATGATTAAAATAAACCCCTCTATGTTGAACACGGTAATGTCAAATACCCCGGTTATCTCGAAGTAAAATTGTGTATCCATTCATTCAAATCACATGCGTTATCTCGAAGTCAGGATAATTTTCCGCTCTGATGATCAAATCCGTTAGGTAAACTGACAGCTCTATTGATAACAGCCACCTGTCTGTCACGCACAGGTTACCTGTGTTCTTGTGATCAACAGATAATAGCGCGATAATTATACGAGGTGTATATATGGCTTACCTTGATTTTAAATGGTAGTGTGTATTAGTCTTATGCATGGATGACACGTTAATTGTTTTGTGGCCGAGGTACGTTTATCTTGGTAATCGCTATTTAATGCTATGTGTAATATGTTTATGCATATGAAAGCGAAAATTATAAACATTAAAGTGAAACAAAATTCTGTAATTTAATGCAATTAGAATTTATTTTTCGTATATGGGCGTGCAGAATTTACAATCGTCAGTACACGCCATCATGTGAGCGTGTGTCGCAGTGAAAACTTGTGCTATAGTGAACTGTGATTCAGTGTCGTTCTGTAGTTAGACGAGAGAGCGTGTTTCTTCTTTTGCATCTGATTTTATTATGGTAAAATATTTTCTTTTAACTGATAATACATGTATGAACAAGTTTTTCCAATAAAAAAATTGTATATTTCGTTTCCGTTATTCTGACAGCGACCGGTTTTAAATTTACAATGCATAGACGATAACCGGTTACGTATACATGGGAAACGATGCTAGCAGTTGACTTGCCGTGTTGGTAGAAGGATTATACTTCTGTGCATACTATACAAAGTTTTTATTTTGCGAATTATAAAGAGGATGTAAAAATCTTTTAAATGCTAAATACATATACACGTATATTAAAGAATCGTATACGGAATTTCAAACAAGAAGGAATTTTATTAAGTACATGTTCACTGCACTAAGTTTATCTGAAGTTCATTAGAATTATAACCCTCAATATGTTGAACCCCCGGATATCTCGAAGTTCATCAACGGTCCCGTCAACTTCGAGATAACGAAGTTTAACTGTATGTACATGTATATGCTTTATTCATATCACTCATATTAAATTATTCAACATGTATATCATATGATAAAACTAATATGAAAGAGAAGAAAAAAAGCTGCAATATTTAGAAATATCAAGATTATTTGTCAAAGATTTAACATATTTTTATCTGTACAGTAATACAAGTAAGATATGCAGTTAGTTTGAATGGTGTTAGTTTTCTCTGACATCAAGATTCAAACTAAACAATTCATTTTCTGAGATGCCAATTCATCAGAATTCTAATTTGTGATGCATTTGTAGAATTTACCACCAAAGGCAGCTGGTGATGATTTAGTTGTGGACCAAGGAAGTGATGGACCCTATGACTATTTTGATCGTAAGACCATTCAAAATTTTATTCTATTATTTACCGGTATCCAACCTTTGTCTCTGATAATGGTATAAGTATTTGATATGTTCTCAGATATATTCATAGCAGCTTTTTAAGAAACTGTGTCTTAAAATCAACATGACTGAATAGAAAATTTCATCTACATGTACATGTATCTTAGGCTTTCAGATATTGGACTTTGATATGCAGAGTTATAATACAGTCACAACCAAAATTTTACTTCAATATAGCCTTGATATCCATTCTTTTGAATACTTGTGCATATATGTCTATGTTTTTCATTGTAGCAAAGAGACAGTTTTCAGAAAAACAGAAAGCAATTCAAGATGCCTTTAAATTTGCTTGGAAGGGATATAAAGAGCATGCTTGGGGCCATGATGAATATCATCCAATCAGCAAAAGCCATTCAGAGTGGTTTGGAGTCGGTCTGACCATTGTAGATTCTATTGATACAGCCATCATCATGGGACTTAAAGATGGTATCAGATATATGTAGTATAAATTATACATGTTTTGTTTTGAACATATTTATTTTGACAATATGTTCATGTACATCCATCAAAGAGTGTTTACTAGACTCTTAGTTTTGTAAACTAAAGATAATAAATCTGTGTTAGAGAATCGGTACAGACTTGAATTCTGTTTAAATTCGAGACTAAACAGTAAAAAGTGACATGTATTTTCATTTTTTCATTTGCATAAGTTATTTTTTCGTACATGTATTAGCAAAGTTAAAAAAAATCAGTAATGTGAAGAACATAAAAAATATGTGCCAATACTTGTTGAGTTTCTGTATTACAGAGTATCTGGAAGCTAGAGAATGGGTTGATAAATCCTTGACCTTTGACAAGGATAAAGATGTCAACTTGTTTGAGATCACGATTCGTGCCTTGGGAGGACTTCTGTCTGCTTATCACCTGACAAATGATGAAGTTTTTAAAAACAAGGCTGTAAGTCTAAGATTCTAGCTAAGAAAATAACTAAAATTATAATAAAAATTTATGTTTTATAAATGTACTGTAATTATGCTAATGTATAAATATGCATCTTCTGATGTAAAATTCTAGTTCTGACACACAGTATTTTCTTGATAATTTAATTTTTTTCAATTAAAAATGAAATACATATATATATTTATGACTTGTTATACAGTATCTCTTCCCTGCTGTTTAGTACAAAAGAAAAAACAAACAAAAACAAAAAAGGAATAGATACTTTCAGTGAATCATACATTATGCACCTCTTCATTGTTCAAATATCAGTCTTTCAAGCTCACAAAACAAATAATAATACTCTGGGAAAAGAAAATAATATATTATAATATTTACTTTTACCAGAGTATTAAGTTTTGAAACACAACAAACCTTAGAACTAAGAACAAATATAATATTTCTGTACACAAAAATTACAAACTAGTATACAGTGCATCTTTACTCTTACCTACATACATGAATATGACAAATAAATAAAATACTAATCAACTTTCTTGTAGAAAGAGTTGGGGGATCGCCTCTTACCATGTTTTAAATCTCCATCAAATGTCCCTTTCTCTGACGTGAACCTGAGGACTGGACACGCCCATGCCCCAAGGTGGGGCCCTGACAGCAGTACATCAGAGGTGACTACCATACAGCTGGAATTCCGAGATCTCAGCAGAATCACCAAGGATAGTAGATATGAGGTCAGGGGACATTATTTGATTTTAGAGTTTTCTGTAGACTTGAGATCTTTTTGTTTATTATACAACAGAACAATATTTTAGTACTTACTGGAGTTCATGTTTTACTGGTAAGATTATAATTGTGTCAGTTTGATGGTAAGAAACTAAAAGATAGATGCAAGGTATTATCAGAAAGGTCACCCAAAAAGTATTTTTCATTTTGTATATAATTCTTCACATATGCAAATGAAAACCAAGAATTCTGCAGATGAGTGGCCTGTTTATTGTTTTTGAAGCTGGTAGATTCTCAAGTAACTATAAGACCTACATAAACTTAAACCAAACTTGCATGGATGTTTCATGTAGGGTTGCATACTTCAATTCAAGGGTTGGATGCTGACTGTACATTTTTTCATCTGAGTACACAATTTAATGTTTTTAGTGCAGGTTCCTTCCAAATTAACTACACGCTCTACCTTGACCAATCTCTCATTCTTATGAATGCATTATTACTGCATTCTTGCTTTAGATGCTATATTTTTCAAATATGTAATAGTGACTAAAAAACTACATATACATGTATAATGATTAATATAACTAGCAGTGCATTTACATTTATTTGAAAGGAATCTTTCTCTATTTTTATTACATTTGTTGAGGTAAACTTTGTAATCTTTTTAGCTCACCTGAGCTGAAAGCTCAAGTGAGCTTTTCTGATCACCCGTTGTCCATCGTCCATCTGTAAACTTTTCACATTTTCATCTTCTTCTCAAGAACCACTGGGCCAATTTTAACCAAACTTGGTACAAAGCATCCTTGGGTTAAGGTGGGTTTAAATTCTTAAATTGAATAGTCAAGCCTCCTTTCAAGGGGAGATAATCAAAAAAAGACAAAAATAGGGTGGGGTCATTAAAAAAATCTTCTTCTCAAGAACCACTTGGCCAGAAAAGCTGAAACTTATGTGGAAGCATCCTGGGGTAGTGTAGATTCTAAATTATTCAAATCATGACCCCGGGGGTAGGTCGGGGCCACAATAGGAAATCCAAGTTTTACAATGAAATATATAGGAATAATCTTTAAAAATCTTCTTCTCAAGAACAGCTGGGACAGAAAAGCTGAAACTTATATGGAAGCATCCTGGAGTAATGTAGATTCTAAATTGTACAAATCGTGACCCCCGGGGGTAGGGCGGGGCCACAATAGGGAATCCAAATTTTACATTGAAATATGTAGAAAAAAATTGTCAAAAATCTTCTTCTCAAGAACAGCTGGGACAGAAAAGCTGAAACTTATGTGGAAGCATCCTGGGGTAGTGTAGATTCTAAATTGTTCAAATCATGACCCCCGGGGGTAGGTCGGGGCCACAATATGGAATCTAAGTTTTACATTGAAATATATAGGAATAATCTTTAAAAATCTACTTCTCAAGAACCACTGGGCCAGAAAAGCTGAAACTTATGTGGAAGCATCCTGGGGTAGTGTAGATTCTAAATTATTCAAATCATGACCCCTGGGGGTAGGGCAGGGCGACAATAGGTACTACAAGGAGGATAATCAGATGAAACACAGCAAGGACAAAGTTATTCAGGTGAGCGTTGTGGCCCATGGACCTCTTGTTTATCTTTGTTACTTTTCTTATGAAAAATTTTTGGAGCATGTCTGTTTTAAAGAACTATATTTACATTTGCTGTGTTTTTCTACTAAGCCAACTGTGAATTTGATTTGAATGCCATTTTCGTGTATATACTCACGCATAGAAATATACACTGAGAAACTCGAATAATTCAAACATTGAGTATATTTTTGGTGCTTTTGAACATGTAAATATAAGGAATGTTTTAAAGTTTAGTGTGAATTATTGGTGTGTAAATCACACAGACTTGCACGTAGGCATATTTTTCATGAAGCTCTAGCTCGCTTCATGAAATATGCCTACGTGACTAGTCTGTGTGATTTACACACCAATAACTCACACAAAACTTAAAAACATTCCTTAAATAAGCCATACATAACTCAATTATGTATGAATTCATGCATTATCTGTATGATTGTTCAGGTTAATTTTTATGTAATGCAATTCCCCATTTGAAACCACCATTGATCAAATTTGCTTGAATGGTATATGAAGGAATCATGCATGTAACCCTTAATTCGAATACAAAATGAAATCCTATAAAGGAAATTAATTTAGTTGTCAAATTATACCATTCACTAGATATCATATTTCAAGATTAGCTACATATGTATGATTACACTATGATTTTGAAAAGTTTTTTGACCTATACAGGCACATTTAGGAATTTCTGTACAATTTTTCAGCATGCAGTAGATGTAGTGTCAGAACATGTTCACAAACTACCAAAGAAGGATGGATTAGTGCCAATATTTATCAACGCCAATACAGGATCATTCAGAAGTTCTGCCACCATTACATTTGGTGCAAGAGGAGATAGTTACTATGAGTATTTATTGAAGCAGTGGATACAGACAGGCAAACAGAAGGACTAGTGAGTATCTCCAGCAGGTTTTAAGAGGGAATTTCAAAGTACATTTATAGATAATTCTAGTGTAGACAATTCTAGTCAACGACCAAGAAAAACATAGAGGTTTTCTAAATTTTGTTCTTTAATGATAACGAAAACATCCTTTCACTTAAAATTTTTAAAATTGTAAAATGTGATACACTTGTAGATGTCTATTGATGTTAATACTATTACCTGGTTCTTGTTTCTACAGTTTGAAAAATGACTACCTGCAGGCAGTAGAGGGCATTAAGACTCATTTACTGAAAGAATCTGAACCCAGTAAACTGCTCTACATAGGCGAGCTACTGGGAGGAAGATCATTTAGTCCAAAAATGGTGAGGCTGCTACATTTAAAGCTATAATTATACATGTAATCACTAATTCCCAGTGATCATCAGGTGCCTGTAGCAAAAGAGCAGCTGTATTCATTTTGCAACTGTTTTAATGGTAATTTCATATGTATTTCATTTGTTTAAAAAGTATTATTTTCATTTTTTTTTTTTGACTAATTGATTTTGAATTTTCAAAAAACATGGATTGTTTATTGACACATGTGCCCCCCCCCCCCTTCACAAAAAAAAAATAAAATAAATAATCAGGCATCAAGTGTAGGGATATACTTTTAAAAAATAATTTTTCTCCACAATCAAACATTTTATTGGAATAAAAAAAAATATAACTTTTTCTTTTATTTTAACAGGATCATTTAGTGTGTTTTATGCCAGGAACTTTGGCTTTGGGGCATCAAAATGGTCTTTCAAATGATCATATGGAAATTGCCACCAAATTAGCTAAAACTTGTTATGAAATGTATAATAAAATGCCAACGAAACTCAGTCCCGAGATTGTGTATTTTAATCAGGCACCAGGAGCCAGTGATGATCTCATAGTCAAAGTAAGTCTGCAATAATTAGGAGCAATTATTTTATTGAGAAATGTGTAGGAAATCGTTCCCTACTCATTGAATGAAATGAAAATATTAAATGCTTGATACATTCAGGATTGTTATTGCCACTTATACTATGCTTCATATAATATTTAACTTGGTGGTAAGTATTAACTAAGAATTTTATTTCTTCACTTCCAGCCACTAGATGCCCACAACCTGTTGCGGCCAGAAACCGTGGAGAGTCTTTTTTACATGTACCGATTTACTCAGGACAAAAAATACAGAGAATGGGGCTGGCAGATTTTCCTGGCCTTTATGAAATACACCAAGATTGAGGGGGCTGGCTTCTCCTCCATCAATAATGTCAAAAGTCCAGGTAACCCAGGATTTAAAGATAAACTAGAAAGCTTCTTCTTAGCAGAGACACTCAAGTACCTGTTCTTATTATTCAGTGACGATCCCAAGCTTATGCCTCTAGACAAGTTTGTGTTCAATACTGAGGCTCATCCCCTGCCGATTTACTCCGAGTGATTTTAATGTTTGTTCTTGTGTCAAATAGAATGATTGTATGTGTGTGTAGGTTTCAAAATACATATATAGCATTATCTATAAAATATTTTGTGTGCAAGATACTTTGTGAAGACTTGGTGCATCACTAAATAATAATGTGTGTGAATGATAAACCATGTGATACGGAAAACAATGAAAGACACAACCCTGAATTTGCTCATTAATGTAAATTACGACATTGAACATAAAATACATGTAGAATGAACTCATATTTGAAATGTTCCTACGTAATTCAAGCTCTTAATTGTGCAATTCTTTTTCGTTTACCTTTTTCTTTAATATTTTTTTCTCATTAAAGATGGCTTGTCAGAACTAAGTTTTCTCTTAATCATTCAAGGGTTCTTTGAAATGTTGTCAAGAATTTATTTTTCATTTATTTTACCTACTTCATTTTATTTTTAATTGACCTTACCTCATGAAATAATTAACCTGTATAGTGGGTTATATGACCAACCTTAAAACATGTTTTAAAAGGTTGGAACAGTATGTTAGCTTTATGATTTGGTTAATTCTTTCAACACTTGAGGAAATATTTAAACTTAATCATACATAATCATAATTCTGGCAGTTAAGATTTAGTCACTAAGATAATCTGAAGTAAGCACTAATCACTGAAATAGCCCACTATATATTGGTATTCTGTCATTTTGACCACAAGCAGGGATTGTGATAGTTAAGATAGTTAAATCACTGTGAAGTTGGTCATAATTGTTACCTGTACATATCAAATTTTTTGAATGTCATGGAATAATAATGTCATGCAATAAGACAGAAGAGCAACAAGTATTAAATGTAGAAATTAATTACCAAATACATGTATTTCCATTGTTTAAAAATATTAAAAGTATTCCAGTAGGTTTTTGTGTAAATATTTGATCGTGAATCCAGGTTTGATCATTGTATGTTACATATTTTTTATTTTAATTTTTTTTTGATTTGTTTTCAGATTATTTATGATCTTACTTCACATTCCTAGTCAGATACTGTTTATACATGTTGCATTTCATGTCTGTAATGTATTAAACTGTGTCATGTTATTATAATGTGGTCAGGGAAAAACATAGTAGGAATACTTCTTTGCTAAAATTTATGCATAATACTAAAATCTCTATAGAAAATCAGTGCTTATTCCAAAGAACATTGTATATCCATTAAACAAGTATTCAGTAAAGCAGATTTTACTGCAAAAACATGTCAACATAGTAAACTAATTCCATTGAATGAAAAATGTATTTTAAAAATGTACAAACAATCTTGGTGTTCTGTGCTTAAGGAGTTTCATGTGTCTCTGTCCACTGTGTCATGTAAGGTTGTCAGTCTATTATATTTATCAACATGTTTATCTTTAACTATGAGATGCACTGCCAGCACTAGCAGTGAATACATATGAACATTTATTTCTCTTGAAATGAAAAACACTACCGGTAGTTGCAATTTAATCCTTTTGTTGCAGACAACACAAGTTAACTTTTTTTGTTTGCATACATTATTATAACCAACATAAGGGTCCATTATTGAGCAATCTAAGATTGCAGAAAATAGGTTTTTATGTATTTATGGATATTTCTTGAAATTATTCTTTTTTATCCAGATTTTGTACAGAAAAAAAATATTATAAATTTAATTAGTGGACTCAAATTTTCTTGATCCCCTTTGCAATTAGTATCCTACAAATGTCTTTTATTTCAGCTCTATGTCCAGAAAATAAAGGAGAAAACCCAACATGATCAAGAGTCTAATTTGATGCCCAGTGTTTTTATTAATTTTTTTTTTTTTTTTAGAATTTATTGACTCTAACCAGAGAGGAAATTACATACGAGTATGTAGTATTTAATCCTTCATTGACTCTTGAATATTATTTTTTTCTTATGTAAGGAATCCAACGAACCCTTAAAATTTTTTTTACATATATTTACATGACTATGCAGTATATGTTTTTTCCTTTGATATTTAGTCATTATTGTTGGGGGGGGGGGGGGGGGGGGTAGGAGGTTTAGGTTTTTGAGATAGTAGTGGACAGTTAAAAAAACATGAAATGATCTTATATGCATTTCAGTGCTTTTTATCTTAATTTATGTAAACAACTTGTAAATATACACGTATATATATTTACCTATGCTCTAATTTATCATTGTGCCAATGTGCCCCTTTAGGAAATATGCTTAAATTTTGAATGCACCAATATATTGTAGCAGTAATGACACTGCAAGTGTTAAAGTGTCATGTAAAGTAGAAAAAAAATTCTGTCTATTTTTTTTCTTAAAAGATTGTACCACACTCAGATTTATTTAACGTTTGAGATATGTATGACATCATCTATTTTATTTAAAGGTGGCACGAAAATTTTTGTTTCATCTTTTATTTTTTTATTCAGTAAATCATGGTGTGTGTGATTGGAGTAATTTTGATACTTTTATCATAGTTTTTTGATATTTTCAGTATGTTGTGATAGGAGGCATTTGTCATTGCAGGATGACTCATCAAAATGTTTAACAATAAAATCAGTAAACATCAAACCGTTATTGGTCAAAATTTGGCCTTTTTTTGGGGGGGGGGGTATATTTATGAATTTCATTGTAAGCATTTGTCAGATTTTCACTACACATGTTTTATTTCGTGTTAAATTTGACATCCTATCATGAGAAGTTTTCTTCACAGAGTACCCGATACTCCATATTACTGTCTCCAGATTTCCAGTGGTCAGGAGGGGTGTTGTAAGCATACACTGAGTGACCGTGGGGATCATGCTGACCCTCCCAGAGATTATCTGTAACTGGACTAGACTGTCCATTTCCTACCCAGTTCCAGTCTCCATTAACAACCTCCATTCCTAGCCAGAACTGAGGAGAGTAACCTGTTAATTCAATAAAACTTTATCATTTTTCTGTAGATCTAAACATAGGTACCCAGTAATCAAAGATTGCAAAGTTCACCTCAAGGAACATTATCTATAAGCAAGCCAAAATCTTTCATCAAAGGAGTGTTTTAGTAATGTGCATCCCTAGATGTTGCATGTGCAAGTTTGCTTTGGGTTGGATTTACAGTTACTTGTGAATGGACCTTAATATGTTAACTCATGTACGAAAGCCTATTAGGATCAAACTACGGTAAAAAAAAAATTTAAAAGGCGTTATAACGCCTTTTCAAAAGGCGTTATAACGCGAAAAAAGGCGTTATAACGCGGAAAAAGGCGTAATAACGCAAATAAAGGCGTAATTACGCCTTTCCAAAAGGCGTTATAACGCCTTTCCAAAAGGCGTTATTACGCCTTTTCAAAAGGCGTTATTACGCCTTTTCAAAAGGCGTTATAACGCGAAAAAAGGCGTAATAACGCCTTTTCAAAAGGCGTTATAACGCGGAAAAAGGCGTAATAACGCAAATAAAGGCGTAATTACGCCTTTCCAAAAGGCGTTATAACGCCTTTCCAAAAGGCGTTATTACGCCTTTTAAAAAGGCGTTATTACGCCTTTTCAAAAGGCGTTATTACGCCTTTCTAAAAGGCGTTATTACGCCTTTCCAAAAGGCGTTATAACGCCTTTTCAAAAGGCGTTATTACGCCTTTCTAAAAGGCGTTATTACGCCTTTCTAAAAGGCGTTATTACGCCTTTCCAAAAGGCGTTATCACGCCTTTTTAAAAGGCGTTATTACGCCTTTTAAAATGGCGTTATTACGCCTTTTAAAAAGGCGTTATTACCTCTCTTTTTTTTTCAATACATGACTTACTTAGCCCATGCACCCTGGGGGCTGATTATAATTAGATTTCTAGGAAAAAAGATTTTTAAATGTGTAAAATATTTTCAGTGTTAAACCAACTTAGTCCTTCTCTGATGCCAGACGCTTTTACCAAGGTGTATGGATTTCAGAAATTTTGTTGAAGGCTAATTGCTCATTATACCTATGCAAATACTTTGCCTGTTTTTTACCAAGAGGAGAGAAAAATATTTCAAATTTGACATGAATTTTTAATACGTGGCTAGCAAAGCCCAAAGCTGGTTCTGCCTATATCCTGGATTTTCAAAAGTAGAGTGTTGACTTCTCTTAATATGCATGCAAAATGCAAACAACTGTCTGCGAGATGTGCAGGAATATAGAAAATACTATAATTTATAATATAATTTATAATATTAAAACTATAATCTAAATATTGCATAAATAAAGATGGCTTTGGTTCAATCTTTCATGTAGTTACTATTTTAAAATAACGCCTTTCCATTTTTGGATACAACTCCTTTTCAAACAGGCCGGTAGTACGAATGTGAGTGGGGGGGGGGGGGGAGGGGGGGTCCCCCACCCCACTTTTTGGGAGAATAGTCTTGCTATAGTTTAAATATAAAAAAATCATTTATTGATTGCTTGGTCCCTTAACATTTTGTTGCAGTATGGTTAAACTCGGGCAAGTCATTGCATTTAAAAAAAGTTTTTCCGAAAATTTAGAAAAAGTTTCCCCTCAAGTTTAGGCATTTTATTTTTTTCGGGGGGGGGGGGGTTCTTGTTTTTTTGTTTGCTTGTCAATTTTGTGGGACCCCTCCCCCCCCCCCCCCCCCACACACACACACTTTAAAAGCACGGGCCTGTCAAAGACATAATAATGGCGTATTAATGCCTTTTAAAAAGGCGTAATAACGCCTTTTGAAAAGGCGTAATAATGCCTTTTGGAATGGCGTTATAACGCCTTTTGGAAAAGCGTAATAACGCCTTTTAGAAAGGCGTAATAACGCCTTTTGGAAAGGCGTAATAACGCCTTTTGGAAAGGCGTAATAACGCCTTTTTTCGCGTTATAACGCCTTTTGGAAAGGCGTAATTACGCCTTTTTCCGCGTTATAACGCCTTTTAAATTTTTTTTACCGTAGTTTGATCCTAATAGGCTTTCGTACTCATGCATAAGATCAAGCATCCGGAGCAATTTCCTAGATGTATCATCAATGCAATTTCAGTCTACATAGGTCTTTAAAATTACTGAAAATGGACCTGCCCCAAAAACTTTAACCCATGTATGTAATCATCCAGAAAATAAATGTCAGATCAAGCATCCAAAGCAAGTCATATAGTGTACATCTCTCAGATCCATCATCCATGCAAGTTCAGTATAGGAAGGCGTTATAAATACCAGGGTACTTGGGGCTGAACCTGCTCCAAAAACATCCAGAAAATGTAGCATGGAACCAGCATTTGAAGCAAGTCTGGTAGTGTGCATCCCTAGATACATCATCTGTGCAATTTTGATCCAGGTAAGGCTTACTATGGCCGTAGGAACTGGGGGGGGGGGGTGCCCCCAATAATTTTGCCAATATATAGATTACTATAGAAAACATAGCTACTATATGCTTGTGCCCCCTCAATAAATACGACTGATGACTTTTTTTTGCTTGTCAAGGAATATCTGGTAGTTGATAATGTCCCCCCCCAACTGAAAATGTATGGCTGTGCCCCCCCCAAACGGAATTTAGAAAACATAGCTACTATATGCTTGTGCCCCCTCAATAAATACGACTGATGACCTTTTTTCTTTGCTTGTCAAGGAATATTTGGTAGTTGATAGTGCCCTTCCCCCAACTGAAAATGTATGGCTGTACCCCCCCCCCCAACTGAAATTGCTTCCTACGGGCCTGCTTACTGTTACTTAGAGGAATGGACCTGCTTCAAAAACTTTAACCTGCTCCAAAAACATTAACCTGGACATTCTTCTGGAAAATATCAGCTGAAAATGCAGAATCTGCAATTCTGATCAATAAAAGGGCAAAGAGTTATTTTAAAATAAAACAGCTCCAAAAACTTTAATCTGGGACGCCGACGCAGAGGGGATTACCTAAGCTTCCTCTGACTTAATCAAGGTGAGTTAATCAGGGACGTAGCATCGTTTTTGAAAGGGGGGGGGGCAGCCAGAGAAAAAAAATTTCAACTTACCTTGAAAAAAACTTGACAAGCAAAAAAATAAAGGAAAATTGTCCGAACTCGAAAATCCTATTTCGGGGGGGGGGGGGGGGGTAGGTTCCAACTTCTTTCAGTACCAAATTTTATTATTTATACACTACTACAAAACCCTTATTTGACTATTCTACAACAAAAATGGGGGGGGGGGCAACCGGCCTTTCAATTAACATTTCAAATAGTAAAAAAGGTCTGGAAAAAAAGTGAGGTGGCAGCCCCCCCTGCCCCCCCCCCCCCCTTTGCTTCGTGCCTGTTAATAAAATAACTTGAAGTCAAATATTCTGTTACATGTTCACATTTGGCAGATGTTGCTCCGCAGCAGACTTTCACATGGCAGTCATGGCCATGACCATGGGGGTAGGTTCCAACTTCTTTCGGTACCAAATTTTATTATTTATACACTACTACAAAACCCTTATTTGACTATTCTACAACAAAAATGGGGGGGGGGGGGGGAACCGGCCTTTCAATTAACATTTCAAATAGTAAAAAAAAGTCTGGAAAAAAGTGAGGTGGCAGGCCCCCCTGCCCCCCCCCCCTTTGCTTCGTGCCTGTTAATAAAATAACTTGAAGTCAAATATTCTGTTACATGTACACATTTGGCAGATGTTGCTCCGCAGCAGACTTTCACATGGCAGTCATGGCAGTGACAGTCTATATGTAAGTTATCTTGTCTTTTTTGTGGTTAAGGAAGACTGACTATATGCTACGAGAGGCCCCTTAAAGGAAATTAGAGGGCAATTAATTGTATAGAGATTTAGACATCAACCTGTCATCAGCTTTCCCAATCGAAGTTCCTCTTCGTCGGATTCTAGATGCACCACGTGGGTTGCCTCAGCTTCACAGATTCGTTTTGCATCCTTGTACCGTTTGTTGAGGTCGTAAAAGTAATAACAGGTACCGTGGTCAGTATCAGGTATTGTCAACGTGGCCGTCTGATGCTTGTCACAACTTATTGTCGTCGACCCTTAATAAAAACTAAAAAGTTTACATGTGCTCAGTATCTGTTTTTTTCTTAATGGCCAAATCCTTATTATAATAATCCACAGATACATCCTTTGAATTTAGGTGACTCACTAAAAAAAATGATTGTTTTAAAAGTATTTTTAGACTAACACTTTCGCAGTGAATACCTGAGGATGGATTAACAACGGTGGATGACGACTGCAGTGGCTGTGCACTGGTAGATGATTTACTGGATTGGACGGAGGTAGTGAAAGTTGATTGGATGATAGAAGATGCTACATTAGTATGGGTAGGGATTGGATTGGTCGGATTTGTGACGCTTGCAGGGTCTGTGTTACACATATTACAAGTCTTGGCACAGAGAAAAAGAGCAGAGGATGGTCGAAGATTACAGATATCCAAAGTTTGTATCAAATGTTCGCAGTTTTCCTCTGCATCAGTACATGCAAGTTGTTGAGCTTTACCTAGAGTGAATTATATTGGAATGTATAGTTAGAGATGGCATAATGCATTTGAAGTTTACATTTAAAAATATGTTTAACGTGTATATTTATATTTACCATAGCTTATTGCAAACATGTAAAACACAATAATCCAATTATATGCAAACATTTTTTCTCGCATTAGAAGAAAACAGAAATATAGAATTGCATTAAGATTAATTTCAGAGAATACCAGTTTGACATATGACGTCTAGTTCGAGTGATAAGAAAGGTTAAAATGTGGGAACCTAAATTCTGGCTTATAACGCAATGACAGTTTTTATTTTGATAAGTACATGTTCATGGTTATCTAATTTATCTAGGTAATTCGAGGAATCACTGAAATTTACACTAATTATTTAAATACAAACTCTTATTGTTTTCATGTGGATTTTTTTTTTTTGGGGGGGGGGGGGGGGGAGTAATTGTTTATGGAATTCCGTATACCACAGCCAACTTCGTACTGCCAACTGCTCACTGCCAGCTGCTTACTGCCAATTGCTCACTCCTTAATGCTAACTGCCACTGTTCATACATATTGTCTGATTTGTTATTCTTTATAACATTAATACACATGCTTGAACAGTGGCGGATTTAAGGGGGCGCATCCGGCGCGCGCCCCCCTAAAACTGTCAAAGTTAGCGTAAATCATAGTTTCGTCAAGAAAATTAAAAATGTCTACTTGGCAGACCTCATTTTTACCCTACAAAATCTCTAGAATCCAGGAGCTTCGCCCCCAGACCCCCTGCCTACTTTCTGCGCCCCCCCCCCCCCTAACTTCAATACCCGGATCCGCGCCTGTTGAATATATCCTATGATAGCAAGAATATTACAATAATAACCATAATTGGCGGATTCAGGAATTTTTAAACGGTGAAGGCGAGGAAGGAATAAATAAGAGAAGGAGTATTGCTTCTTAAATGCAAAATATTTGACTTCGATCCACGTTTACTTGCAGGCAATGCAAATAATTCAATATCTTTTTTTTTTTACTAGGAAGAGATTGAAGGCTTATATAGCGTCAGAAAATGAGGGGGGGGGGCTTTAAGTAGGATCCTGAGTAACATTTGTTGATATAAGCATTTATACCAGATAAAATTATGAAAATTCATAATACAATGCATTAATTAACAGTTGACCTTAGGTAAGGAATTAATTTCCGTGCGGGAAAAGGGGAGGCACAATCCAACAGAAATCCCTTGACAAGTAATAAAAAGGGTCACAGGCGCCACTACAGTAACTGTATATTATATGTTCGCAATTTATTTGGGGACAACCACAACCTCCACCATCATTTTTTTTTTTATGAATCTATACGATTATATCCATTAAAACGAATAAGAGACACGTATAAAAAAGTTTACAAATATACAGGTACCTTCCACACAAAAATACCCCACTATACATTATAAGAGAGAAAGGTCTCTCTTATAATGTATAGTGGGGTATTTTTGTGTGGAACGATTATTTCGGGGTTTTCACGATTTATTCCTATGGTACACATGATAAATAAGTGCAATAATATAATCTGTGAAAAAAATGTCTAACAAGCCTCGGGGTTGAATATCGGGGGGGGGGGGGGGGTCCTGTCCACAAGTACCTGTGGAAACATTCAATGTATTTTATTTCAATTTCATTAGGCAAAAAGAAGAAAAGGAAGAAAACCAGGAATCTGCTTGACATATCAGAGATATTTATTATAATTTTTCAGACCTGGCCCCGGGATCATGAAACATCTTAAGCTTAAGTAAAAAAAGATAGATTATGCTAGATATGATTTTGAAATAGAACAGTCCAGAATGAAAATGCTTTTTAACTTTGCATCAATAAACCGCTGACTGTGCAAATTAAGAGAGTCGGTTCACACGCGTAATAAACATTTTATGAATGATTGAATTTTTGACTCCTTCATGATCCTGGGGTCAGATGTCAAATAGTTCATGGTGCGTTGTCACCATAACCAGAACTAAGTCTGAGCCGTCCCATCACTTATTTTACAGTTTGTTAAATAATATAATTTGATAGAAAACCGGAAAAGATGGACGGGGTAAGATACACATTATAATCAGTTCACAGTACTCAACGTTGATTTTTTTAGTTAATATCGTGAAAGAAAATCAATGCAGGATTGGATTTGTAACAAGGTGTTTAAAAAATAAGTACGCTCCACAAATGTAGCCCTTTAATTCAGTCAATCCATAGATATATCGACTTTACAGCATATAGTTTACTTTATATATATATATATATATATATATATATATATATATATATATATATATATATATATATATATATATATATATATATATATAGTTTACTTTTGTAAGGTATTAGCTTACAATTGATAAACCTAGTTTATCAACTGTAAAACTATGTTTAGCTCATTTTTGTGAATTTGGAGTGTCATAAATACATGTACTTGATAATTGTTTTAGCTAGTAAGAGTTTGAGTTTCATTGCAATTTTATGTATACATGTATTAGCCTTATTAATAAGGAGGAATTAAAGAGTTTCAATACAGTATGGCTTGTGCTTGTGGGATTAAAATAATATAGCGTTGTGCCAATCCCTCCCTTACTCAGCTGTTGGTAACCTATGGCAACAAAACGATGAGCATGCAAGGGAAATAGGTGACAACGCGAGGGAGATAAAGCGAGAGAGCGAGTGTAACGCTCGCTCTATCCCGATTAGATGTCGCCCTCCTCTGCCCTTAAAAAAAAAGGGGGGGGGGGGTGAGTGGACCTAACTGTGCAGCAAAAGATCACGCTTAAATTGATACATCAGAGACCAGCAGACCAGCAAACGGTTTTAACGGCTTTTTGTAAAGTGACAATGCTGTCAAAAAAGAGGCCAACAAATCGGGGGGGTTTTGTGATAGAGTTGAACAGGAATTAAACTAAGGAGGAAATCGATACTTTACTACAACACTTATCCCATGACCGAGCAAAACAATTAACATCCCATGACTTCGTATGGACGAAAACACATGGTGGTTTCAATGGTAATACTGATAGATTTGATGTAGTTTTTATTCAAGGATTGAAGACAAAAACAATTACGTTATCTTGACATTCGTTATGGCGTGGAAGTCCCCCGATTCTGGATTTGCACAAGTGTTGATAACATGTCATCTCTGTTCTAATCAAGTAGAGCTTTACTGTTCCACCTGCGGCATAAATTTATGTGGAGGTTGTGTTGGTCAGCATATGCTTTCTCTGTCATTGCAGAAACACGATGTCGTCAAATATTCCTCAAAATATGACGTCATCTTTCAACCATTCTGTAATGCGCATCCTGATCTGAAGTGCGAGATTTACTGCGAAGAGTGTGAATCTCCTGTTTGTTCTAAATGTGTCGTTTCTATGTCACATAACAACCATCACTTCAAGGAACTCCAGGAAAAGTATACTATCTTGAAGGAAACCATAGCAAAAGATACCGAAACTCTCGAAAGCTTAATTGTGAAAGAATATCAAAATATTGTTGGAGAGCTGCAGGGATTAACAGCTGACTTATCAAATAACTATTCTAATCTCCGATCAGCTGTCTTACAGAGAGGGGACGAATTACATCAGCTTATAGACAGCGCCATCACAAAATGCCATTCCGACATTGATGCAATGGAAAATCAAGAAATCAGCAGAGTTGAGCAGAACCTGTCCGTGTTTCAAAGGCTCCTGAAAACTGTGCAAAACAAAATTAAGGAGAATTACAAATACCTCCAGTCGATGGACAAAGAAATGTTAAGCTACAGTTCTATGCTGACTGAATTTAGAGAGGTCCCTTCAAGATTAACGCTTGCAGTTCCTCCTATGTTCATTCCCGCAACAATGGGCATGAATACTGATGATAAGTTTTTAAAATACATAGGCAAAATTATCCCCTCTAAAATCATAATTAATGATTCTTACACACTTACCCAGACGTATTCTAACAGAGAATTGCTGAGAAAACCATACGTCATTGCCACCATCGAAATCCCTAAGTACGTATACAAGAATCTGTGTAGACTCTGCTGTGTTGGAAAGGAACAAGCATGGGTCAACGGCTCAAGTAAATCTCTGATTCGATGTGATAAGCAGGGTTCAATCATGGAGGTTGTTGATACACTCTCTGGTGATATTCCGGTTGGTTTGGCTGTTACTAAAGACGAAGAACTAATGTACACTGATCGGAAAGCCAAAAGCATCAACATTGTACGAAATGGTACCACAGAGGTGCTTTGCAAACCAAAGTGGTTCCCAGGTACCATATGCTCCACAGACGACGGGGATTTTCTGGTTGCAATGTGGAATGGCTTGAGTGGGAAGAAAAAAGAAATCAAAGTCACAAGGTTTTGTAAAACAGGTGTAAAGCAAGATATTCAGTACGATGAAAAAGGACAGCCACTTTTTAAAATTGAAGGCGAATTTACAGGTCTTGCTGTCACTGAGAACAGAAACGGGAATATTTGTGTAGCAGACTGGAATGCGAATGCCGTTGTTGTCGTCGATAGGAGAGGAAAACCTAGATTCAAGTACCCTGGGGAAGGAGAAGGCTTGTTTATTCCACGGTATATTACAACAGACAGTCAGGCTCATATTCTTATTTCCGACATCAAGAACCAATCTGTACATGTTCTCGACGAGGATGGAAATGTAGTTTTGCTCATAGATAATTGTGGATTTTCCAATCCTTATGGTATCAGTGTTGACAATGAAGATAATCTGTGGTTACTGGAACGGTTTGGGAAAATAAAAATCATTAAGTATCTGAAGTAGCTCATACGAGACACCTGAGGAGAATTAACCAGAAACATCTTTTGTCCAATTTATGCTTAAGTTTCAACGATTTAATCAATAAATAACAATAGGGGTTCTTCAATAAAAGACAGTAGTTTCTGTTTTAAGTGGTAAGTTGAAAAGGAAAGTACTGACTGTGAAACCAAGCTTGCATCTGTGTTGAATTTGGATTGATTTATACTTTGAAATGTATCACATTAAACAATTATTTGGACAGTGAATAATGTATTTTTGGGGGGGGGGGGTTGGTTGGTCCCTCACCCACTTTTGGACACTTTGTTTCTTTGTTTGGTTTTCTTTTTCCTGTCAGATTTTTTTGGGAGGATAATTGCCCGTCCCCTTTGGAAATCATTGCTACGGGTCTGTTATGTACTTTTGTCTAGAATATGTTAAAGGGTCTTTTTCCTTAGAAACTTATCTGGCGGCCGCCAGATAAACTATTTTTTCTACCTGGCACCAACCGGCTTCCGTAATAAATACATACTTTTATTTAATGTAATTGCGTAAAGTTATAGATTACATGTTGTCACCATTCCTGCAATTAAAAGTTACTTTGGAAAGTTTATTTTGTCGCAATTTTCGCATGCCCTTGGCTTAAGTGCAGTCTCCTTTAATGTCCTTGGCATTTCATACTTAGCATTTACTACCTTGGCTTTGCAAAGGAATGCAATGTATATCTTTCTATACGAGAAGAATAGAGGTATGAAATCAAAACATTTGAATGAAGTCTTTTATGACAACTGCACGGTGTAAAGTGCTTGCTTTTTGTTTGTGAATAGGTTAAAGGACATTAGGTGGACGCTAAACTATAGAGAGAGAGAGAGAGAAATAGCCTTATATATGTGCCTTGATTGAACTTTTATTTCATTCAGTCCCAGAGGAACGCTGCATTTTGGCTGTTATCATGAATACTATGGAACATGAAAAAAGCATAAAGCTCTCGGAATACGTACTTGGCATCATTTTTTTATGTGTGTTACGTTTTTCGAACGGGTGACAAAATGGCTACATGCCTTTTATTTTATTACACCATTACTTAAAAAAAGAATTTCACTCAATATGAAATTTTCTTCCACACTATAGTACTGATTAGTATATACATGACATTAATTTATATACTGGTATTTTGGATATTTAAATGAGACATGTAAAGTAACTCGAACATGCATAACAAAATTGGCTACACTAAGCAAATATTTCGTAATATTAACATTGGTACAGTAATACTAAGCATGATATACACATGTATATCAAAATAATTTTAAAAATGTATGTTCTGTAAAATTATTCAATAAAATTCACCTTTGTCTGGCAATTTTTTCCGGTACACAATCCTCATTTTGAGTATTAAATGCCAATTTCAGGAAACGATAAATATTGATGTTAGAGTTTGATCAAAACACAATATAGATTCAGCCCAAACTCGTAAAATTGATAAAATGGCGTCAAATTTTCAACATTACAGAGAATGCATGCATATTACTGTATCCCCAAAATTTGATACAATTTAGACGATTGGAAGTGAATATTTTCATGTATATTGTTGCGCAAACAACAATCTGTGTAAAGTCGGAGGGGGGGTCCTGTCCACAAGTACCTGTGCTGCAGATACGACAATTAATATTTTAAATTTCTAGCAAATATCACCCTGAAAACGCCAGTTTACGACATATAAGAGTCAGATAATACACTGTACCAACACCGTGCGCGTGTACTGCCGTATCATCTTTTTATTCTAAGGTATTTGGCATCAAGAACTACTAGGTATTCATAGCGCACTAGGTGTTGTTATTTGTGTGCTTTTTTCTACTGGCTTCTGGCCTTCCAAAGAAATAAACAAAAAGATCGTTAAATGAAAGTTTTTTTTATTATTATTATTATTTTGAATCTTCAGAATTTCAATTAATCCAGATAATTAGTTTCCAATCGATATGGCAATCAGGAACTTCACATTAAATAGGATCTTTTGCAAATTAGTTGGTGCCGGAGGGTCTACAAACAGAAAAACATAGGTAATCAAAGATTACGAAGCTCACCTCGACGAATGTTATCTACATGTAAGGCAAATTTCACATATTTTTTTTCTAGTTAGGGTACATCCCAAGATCAATATCCATGCAAGTTTGATTTAATTATAGACCTGCTCAAAAAACTTTTGACCTGTTTAGTAATCAAGAAAATTTTGGTCAGTTCCAACATCCAAAGCAAGTCTGGAAGTTTTCATCCTTAGATGCACCATCTATGCAAGTTTAATCATAACAGGCCATAATATTATATAGCTACTTCAAAAATATTACCCTGGTCACTCATCTGGAAAATGTATGTCAGATTCAGAATCCAAGGCAAGTCTGGAAGTGTCCATCCCTAGATACATCATCCATGCTAATTTGGTTAAAATATGGCTAAAATTCACTCATGTGGAAAATCTAGGTCAGATCCAGCATTCAAAGCAGGTTGGTTAGTGTACATCCCTAGATGCATCATCCATGAAAGTTTGGTCCAGGTAGGGCTTATAGTTACTTGGGAATGAGACTACTCCTAAATCTAAACCTGGTCTCACATGTGGAAAATCTAGGTCAGATCCAGCATCCGAAGCAAGTGTGGTAGTGTCCATCCCTGGATGCATCATCCATGCAAGTTTGGTCCGGGTAGGACTTATAGTTACTTGGGAATGGACCTGCTCCTAAAACTTTAACCTGGTCACTCATCTGGAAAATATAGGTCAGATCCAGCATCCGAAGCAAGTGTGGTAGTGTCCATCTCTAGATGCATCATCCATACAAGTTTGGTCCAGGTAGGGCTTATAGTTACTTGGGAATGGACCTGCTCCTAAAACTTTAACCTGGTCACTCATCTGGAAAATCTAGGTCAGATCCAGCATCCAAAGCAAGTGTGGCCATGTCCATCCCTAGATGCATCATCCATGCAAGTTTGGTCCAGGTAGGGCTTATAGGTACTTGGGAATGGACCTACTCCTAAAACTTTAACCTGGTCACTCATCTGGAAAATCTAGGTCAGATCCAGCATCCGAAGCAAGTGTGGTAGTGTCCAACCCTAGATGCATCATCCATGCAAGTTTGGTCCAGGTAGGACTTATAGTTACTTTGGAATAGACCTGCTCCTAAAACTTTAACCTGGTCACTCATCTGGAAAATCTAGGTCAGATCCAGCATCCGAAGCAAGTGTGGCCATGTCCATCTCTAGATGCATCATCCATGCAAGTTTGGTCAAGGTACGGCTTATAGGTACTTGGGAATGGACCTGCTCCTAAAACTTTAACCTGGTCACTCATCTGGAAAATCTAGGTCAGATCCAGCATCCGAAGCAAGTGTGGTAGTGTCCAACCCTAGATGCATCATCCATGCAAGTTTGGTCCAGGTAGGACTTATAGGTACTTGGGAATGGATCTGCTCCTAAAACTTTAACCTGGTCACTCATCTGGAAAATCTAGGTCAGATCCAGCATCCGAAGCAAGTTTGGTAGTGTCCATCCCTAGATGCATCATCCATGCAAGTTTGATCCAGGTAGGGCTTATAGTTACTTAGGAATGGACCTGCTCCTAAAACTTTAACCTGGTCACTCATCTGGAAAATCTAGGTCAGATCCAGCATCCGAAGCAAGTGTGGCCATGTCCATCCCTAGATGCATCATCCATGTAAGTTTGGTCCAGGTAGGGCTTATAGTTACTTGGGAATGGGACTTACTCCTAAAACTTTAACCTGGGACGCCGACGCTAACGCCGACGCCGGGGGTATAGCATAAGCTCATCTCGACTTCGTCGAGGTGAGCTAATTAACAAGTGTTAATCTTATGCTTCAGAAATAAATGACTTATATTTATCACTAGTTACATATAGTTAAAATCTTCCTGAATTAATGCTTGAAGTGATGCTTAATCTGCAAATAGTTGTGTATCTGGACACATTTTCTGTATACAGTGAAACACGTAAAAACAGGGAGAAAGAATGAATCCAGATTTGTTGTACCTGGCCTTTACTACACACAAGATCACAGAGACACAGGTGTGTGAAAACTCCAGGATATTTTTACTAATTCTGTCTCATTAATATACAAGTGGCCCATGGGCCACAAAGCTAGTTTGAGTCACCTTCGCTTTGCTGTTCTTCAGAACTGAGCATATGACACACCCACCTACAGGCACATGATTTGAACAAACTTGAATCTACACAACCAGAGGATGCTTGCATATCAGTATCACTATTATGAACATGCTGTTCTTGAGAAGAAGATTTTAAAAGATCCTCATTAAATAAATTTTGCTTTCTTGTTACTTCACCCTATCCCCAGGGACATGAATCTACATGACCTTTATAGAATGCATTGATATTTATACATGAATGACTAATCATAGCCATGCTCATTTTGAAAAATGATTTCAAAAGTTTTTTCCCCCTATATAAACTTTGATCCTCTTTTATGCCCCACCCTATCCTCTGGGACCAGGACTTTAACAAACTTGAATCTACACTTTCTGAGGATGCTTGCATATTAATATCACTAAACATGTTCTTGTTCTAATTGAAAAGATGTTTTTCCAAATTATTCCCATGTAACACTTTGATCCTTTTTTGTGGCCCCATCCAACCCCTAAGGTCATGATTGTAACAAACTGGAATCTACTCTACCTAAGGACAGATTTTTTTTCAGCAGATTTTTAAACATTATTTTTTCCTATAAGGTAAAAATCCCTGCATTAAATAGACCCAGTCTGTAGAACTTACTTGGCCCACTCAACGTTAAGGATGAGGTGATCATAGCCAAAGCCTGACACACCAGCTATAGCCCGGGCAGCATCTTCTCTTCTGTGGAAGTTAATAAAAGCAAATCCCTGGAAAAAAGAAATAAAAATTAAACAAAAATTAAACATAGCATTCTGAACCATATAATAAAGCAAAAATTAAAGACAGTCGTGTTCTTGAGTGCAACAGAACATTTTGCTTAATTCACACTCAAATGAAT